CAAGATGTGCGAAATGAAAATGCCAATGTATATTTTTTCGTAGAACTAAATTTGCCTCAAAATGTTACGTATTTTTGTAGCTGGAAGAAGCCCGTAAGAAACTAGAAGATTACGAAAAAGTGAGCAAGGTGCATAGGAATCTATCGGCGGACAACGTAGAGCTGGAGAGAGAGCTGGCCGCCATGAACAGCCGCCTGGAGCAGGCGGAGCGCGCGCGCAAGGCGGAGCTCGCCGACACCAAGATACGGTACGAGGGCCAGATGAACACCATGCGAGATGAACTCAAGTCACTGCACAATCAGGTAACCATTTATTGAAACATAATATGTTTGAAGCATCCTATCTCCTATTTTTCTAGTAAGATCAAAAGTCCTGAAAACCAAAATCAGAATAACAGATTTAATTTCTACACACAGAATGAGGAAATAATTCTCAATTAAATATTGATAGGTATCAAGATTCAGAAGGGAGCGCGACAACTACAAGCAAATGCTGGAAGCCGCCCAGAAGACAATGGAGGAATTAAAGAATGGAGGAAAACGAACACAAAGAGCGTCCATTTCAAGCACCGATGAGGTTAGTTGCTACAACAATATAACTGGGGCCTCTACCCAAAGGGCTGGACAGTAAACACTGCGGAGGATTTTCCTTGTACGTATCTCGTGCCACCACCATATTCATCGGTTAGCATCGTTAGAGTCGAGAGCTCCGTTTTTTTATATGTCAATGTGTCCAAATTATTTTTATACCAGTATAAAAGGATAAAGTTTTGTAACTGAAACAATGTAATTTTAGGAGGAGTACCGTAACAAAGTGGCAGTGTTGGAGCAACAGATGGCGTGCCTGGAGGACGAGCTGTGCGAGGCGCGCCTCCTCTCCTCCAAACTGAACACGGAGCTCGTCAGCGAGCGCTCGCAGGCAGAGGTCCGCCTCGCCGAGATGCAGTCAAGATTGAACGAAGTACGTAGTCTACGTATTTATTATCCTGCTCGCAAAGGACCAATTTTTTAAAAATATTGTACAATACATTACATTTGTAATATAAATTGTTGTTCTTGAAATATCTCTCACTTGTAAGCTGACTGAACCAGAAATTGATCCTCATTTCTGTAAATGTATGTAAAAGTTTGTTTTTGTGTTGTGTCAGTACGAGGAGGAGCGGCTGCTGTCGTCAGGGCGGGCGCGCGTGGCAGGCCTGGCCACGCGCATGGAGCTGGCATGGCACAAGGAGCGTGACGAGCAGCAGCGCCTGCTGCAGGAGACCTCCACGCTCGCCAGGGACCTGCGCCAGACGCTGTTCGAGGTCACACACAAATACTTGTATTTTACTAATATTGCAATATATCATCAGACGGCTCATCGAATATTTATTGAATTCTATTGCGCTTCGGTCAACATTTCGCGTACATTGGTCTTATATATATTGATTATTTTACTACAGGTTGAGCGAGAAAGAGACAAGGAGAGATTGGATATGAAGAGAAGAATAGAACAATTAAAACGAACTACTGAAGAAGAAATTGAGGAGGCCAAGAAAAAGGTGAAGTTATTCTATTAAACAAACATACAATTGGTACAACATAATGATATTTTAAATTAGATGTTATGTAACATTTTTTGCTTTATTGAAGTTATAATGTGCGCAGGTAACGGAGCTGCAATGCGACTTACTGGAGCTGCGCGACGCGCACGCTAAGCTGCGCACGGCCAGCGAGAAACTGCGCCGAGACAAGGAGCGGCACGAGCGCGACCGCGACCAGAACAAGCTCCTCGTCGCCTCGCTCAAGCGCGCACAGCAAGTAAGTACCTCACTTACGTCTGTAACGCTACGCCCTGTTACGCCCTGACGCGAAAAGAACCACACTTTGACATGAACAATTCTCCGAAAGTAATGCCATCTACCCATATGCAACTTCTACTACTCAACACTAGTTTTAAAAAATCCGAAAATGTTTTCTTTCTTGCAGGAGGATGACAGAGTAATTACACAACTCTTGGAAACCATCGACGATCTCATGAAACAGAGCCCCGAATTGTTCCGCAACGAGCAACCCGTTAAACCTGAGAAGAGTTTAATGACGCCTACACCTCCAAGGCGTAACAGAGTAAGAATTTATTTCAAAAGCTATATCATTGGTCAATTATTTTACCAGAGATTGATTCCTAAAAGGATAATGTTTTTGTTTATAGTCCTCAAAGTCCCGTTCGCGGTCGGGTACTCCCGAGAGTGCGGAGGCTGTGGCGGGGGCGAGCGCGGCCGCCACCGCCGCGCGCCTGCGTCGTCTCACAGACGAGCTGCGCGCCTCGCGCATAGCAGAGCGCACGCGCAGGCACCAGGCCGCCGGCATCAGACGGTATATAACAAATCTCGCACCTCAAAGACACTTTATTAGTTGTTAAGACAATTAGTCCTCTATTCTTGGCTAATTAAGTGCCAAGATTTGACAATAACAGTGACTTCACATTTATCCACGGTTTCAAGCACATAACTCGCAACTTATACTCAATATCAGAATAGAAATCTGAAGCTAATATCCGTGATTTCTTTCTAACTATTGCAATAATTATCTTACAGAGGCATGACGGCGGAGCCGCGCGACGCGATGTCTGTATCCCCGGCGACACGAACACCATCGCGCGCGTCCTCGCTCAAGAAACGCTCCATCTCCCTCGAACAGACCACAAAAGAACAGGTGTTTGTTTTTAATTTTTTTAATAATATCTGTGATCCTGTATTTATATATAATTAACACAAACTGATGTATTAACAGAGCACGATATGGATGTCAGTGGAGGAGGGCAGCGTGTCATCGATGCAATCGCTGGATGGCGAAGACTCGCGCCTCTATACGCTGCCAAGGGACTCCAGCCTCGACAGGTTGCCTTATGTTCATATAAAACTGTATATCGCTTATCAAAGTTTAAAATGGGTTAAATTATTTTCTTTATCTGTTTAAAAAAATTTTCGTTACACAAATTACATGACTATTCAAGGCATTCATAATATCAGACTATGAGTTGGCACCTCGGACAGGAGAATGTTCTTGTTCGCGAAGTGCCAGTATAATGGCGGGTTTTATAATAATTTATGCTCACAGTCGTCTGTCCGGAGGGTCGGCACAGAGCGATGTGCTGCCGACAGAAAAGAAGAAGAAAAAGAGCATTTTCGGCAAACTGAAGAAACTTACAAAATCGCGATCCGTTGACGATCACGTCGAGAACGCGGAGGTTGTTGACTTCAGACCTATCGGCACTGTTTCACAGGTTATTACTGTGTATTATTATAATTTCATACTTACTGGAACAGTTTTTTACAGCAACTATTTTGTATTTTCAGGGTTCTGACTCGGATATGAGTACTGCGGGCAGCAAACGAGATTTAAGAGGACGCATTTCCGACATGTTCAGTAGAAAAGGACAAATGTCACGAACGAGCAGGTAGTTTTGAACTTTTTCACTAACTTGCGATATAATGTTGTATTGACTAATGGAATTAAAACGTAATGTTCGTAAACAGCAAAGAGCAGAGTCCGGAGCGAGCGAGTTCGGCAGCCAGCACGGGCAGCGCGCGGCCCATACTGCGCAACTCCAGCACCAACGCACTGCCGCGGCAATCGCCTGCCAAACCGGTAACTTGCTTATACTTGGTTTCTGAAATCTCTATATAAAACATAATGTTATCTCTATCTTGTTAATGTAATGAAAGGCATGACGACATATTTTATACAGAAATTTTAATCTCAGAAACCAGCGATTACTCACTTACTTAAAAATTTCTTTTTCCCATAATGTGGAAATTTATTGCCACTGTTACGTCTAGTAATGAAATTATTTCATTTAAAAAATAAAAAATGTTTATTTCAGATCGAAACGCGAACTCCCAGAGCGTCGAGTACAACGCCAGGCACCAAGAGGAAAGGAAAATAAGTGACAAGTTGCGTTTCCCTTTATTTTATATATTGTATTTATCATCTGACGATATTTCCTTATAGCGCGATATATCACAATACATCCTAGTGAAGATTCTTTTAACTAGACGATTATCAAATCGATCGTACTTTTTTTATTGACAGAAAAAAACAATGCATCGACTCTTTAAATTATTTTATAAATGCCTGTTGAATATTTATATCGATTTAAGAATGTTAAAAACCTGTTTATACGCTGGATGTATTTAAAACTATAAAGCGATGTTATACGGATGCAGGTTTTCGATGTTACCGGAATGGGTAAATATGTTTAAAAGTCGATTGTTGAATCGATTCCTATCGATTGAACCTATCAACACTACCTATTACTAATTAATAGAAATCTAATTTCAATTTTTACTACGCAGATCTGATAAAGGTGTCTACGAGATCGATCTATATGTAAAAATCGATTTGTGTATGACGTCATTACGCTAAAACTCGAATGAACCAAATAAATTATGCATCCCTAATGTTATCGTGAGTTTTCACTTCCAAAACAATTGTACAAAAACATATTGTTGTCTTCCTGATCCTCTTTAAAAAAACAAAAATTAAAATATAATTTTCAATAGGTCATTGAACTAAGGAAACTCATGGTTATGGAAAATATAGTCTGTGCTCCATCAAACCATAACCAATATTCCTTCTTTTTATATTATTGTCTATGTGTAATGTGAACTTTGAGATGTTTCGCCTCCTTAGTAACTAAGATAAGATCGTATCGCGATGTTTACCAAATGGATTGCTGTGTAATGTTCTTGTAATTTTGTAATAAACCCAATCAATAAACACAGTTTTTTTTTTTAATTTCGATCCTTACGGCTTTATTTATCAAATTATTTTTATAATAGAATCCTCTATTTAAAAACAAAATTTAGTTATTCATAAACGACTTATCGATATGAGTAAGGCTCGTAAGCGTCGACGTACTTACGTAGACATTTCTATGACGAGAAGCATCAACATCTGAAGTTGGCGTTATATTAAAAGCTGTGCCAAATTTCTTTTCATCAACAGCTAAATTACAAATGAGTTTTATAGAGAGATCTATTTCTAAACATTTTTACAATAAGATTAATTCAAATAACATTTCACGCACCGAACAAAAAAGAAACAATAAACACGATATTATATAAAAATGTTTGGAGGATGAGATGTGAGGGGGATGTGTTGTGTGTGTTGGGGGGGGGGCGAGTAGGCTAGCTCTGGTCCATGAGGTTGGTGTCAGCGGCGCCTGACGCGTCCTTCAAAATAGACTCGAATATTGGCTGCAGCTCCGGCATAGACTTAATCTGAGTCACGAAGTCCATTAAATGCGGGTTTTTCTCTGTAACAATGGTGAAAAAGGAGGTGTAAAATTCGCAGACTGGGAGCTAACACGAATATTCATGACAATGTTTTCTACAAAATTTGTATTACAATCTGTGCCCCTACCGGGCGTAAAGTACACCAACAAATCACACACAAATGACAAATTTTGTCGATGACGTTACGAAGTCGCGTGGTAGGGGTTGTAAAAGTACATTATTTATGTATTTATGTATAGCACTGACCGGCCTCGGGTATCTGCAGCAGCGCGGCGGCGGCGCGCAGTGCGGAGCGCTTCAGCTCGTCCTGCTTCTCGTACTCCTGCTTCACAGAGTTCGCCTTCACCTTCATCGTGCACGTCGCACGCAGCGGCTCCACCAGGCTCTCTAGTCCTACATAACAACAAACATAAGGCATACTTACAACCACACTCGAAATCCTTTACTGGTTAATCAAATATTCTCTTAGTTGAGATTTCTTATATTTAAGAGTATGAAATGAACTCGCTATTTCTGCGAATTCAGGTGGCTCGTTTGGCAACTTAAAATATAATAAAATAACGACTCTCTGATAGATTTTTACCGTTCTAAACATTACATAATTTAATTTTTTAGTCATTTTGTCTTTGATTGTTACAATCCGCCTCTCAATATGTTAGTCACAGCATAAGATGACAAACAAGCAAGCGACCAGCTTACATCACTAAATATAATATTTTTTAGTATTGTAAAGTGGCCGTTTGTTCACGCTAGTTGAGGTGCACTCACTCTGCAGTACAACCGCTGGGCAGAGATGCGCGAGCCTGGCGCACATGAGGTAGGTGAGCATCTTGATGTCGTAGTGGTCGCGCAGGCCGTCCTCCACGTGCCGCAGGAACTCGAACACGTCGAGGCGGTCGAGGCAGGTGCCCAGCAACGTGTACATGCACTCGAACGCCGCCTTGCGCAGGTCCAGACCGTCGTCCACTGAATGCTTGAACGGACCCATCTCCACCTCCCTTATCAACTCTTTCTGGAAATAAACTCACCAATTTTATTTATTTACAACAAATTATATCAGCGATACGTCTGTCGATGCACAAACGAATCTAGAATAATGATGATTCTTCTTCTGTAGTAAAATATCTTTGTGATTTTTGTATTAAGCTACTTGCCAATGGGCAAAAAAATCGAAATTTTGAAAAAGTGTCGCTAGCGTTAAGATTGGGCTGTTATCTGTCAAATTTGTTTTACGTCGTGCATTAAGAAACGTATTTTTGAATAAATTTGATCGAAGCCGTTCGATTACAGTCCATAAAGTACTTTTTATATAAAATAAAAATGTTGTACATCTGTGGCTTATTTAGTGTTATGAACAATCTTGGTTATGCTGACATCTATAGTGAGTAAAAGGTAGTTTCGTCTCCATTATTTTGTTTAATGAAATTGTCTCAATGTAAATTTTATCGATATTAATTTGCAAGTAACGTAAGTAAGTAGGGTTAGGTGGTTGTGACCTCGTACCTTGACTTTGGTCTCCTCGTATATGGTGGGCAGCAGTGCGGGCAGCAGGTCGCGGACGAGCGAGGGCTTGTTGTGTGCGGCAGAGTTGAAGGCGACGAGGGCGACGCGGCGCACGCACAGCGCCTCATCGCGCAGCGGCACCAGCAGCTCAGACATGCACCCGCGCAGCAGAGGATCTATCGCTTGGGGCTGTACACAGGAATTCACAAAACTTTTATTAATCAACATTTTATGTGCTCCATATAATACTATAGTCATGTTTTGTCTAGTATACCATTAACTTCCCAATGTATATGATACTAACATTATAAATGCGAATGTTTCGATAGATGGGTGGATGTTAGTTAGAAAGTATGTCTACACCAGCAGAATGGATCTCTATTAAATTTGGCATACTTATAGAACATAGTCTAGAAGAATACATAGGCTACTAATTATGTTTTTTTTTAATCCGCGCGGACGGAATCGCTGGCGACAGCAAGTTTTCTATATTTTGTGACAAGAACCTTACCGGACCTAGTATGTATGTCGCAATATAATAATACTTGTTTGTCGCGTTTGCGTTTGAACTTGCTTGAATCTTGCTTCTTTAAACCCTTAAAATCGTGATCAAAAGCATGTATGCTAGTAAAAATAAAAAAATAAAAGCATTTTTCCAGTATCAAAGGCTATCAAAGCTATGACACTAACCTGGTCTGATATAGTAAATTTGACAGCGGTGACGGCAGTGGTTCTCGTGAGCGGCTCGGGGGATTTAAGGAATTCTTTCAAGTGCGGCAGCAGATCCTTCGGCTCCAATAGGCACAGCTTGCCTAAGCATTCGGCAACCTGGCAATACAAAACTTATGATAGACAATTGATAACTGAATTTAGTTTTACACTACTTCTTTTGCAATGAGAGACAGAGAGAACAAGAGATGGTTAAAGAAATAATAAGTTCAAGAATAATAAAATAATACTTACGACATTACGAGATCCTTCCTCCGCGCATTGGCAGTGTTTTGACAGTTGCACCCAAATCTCTGGTATAAACGGTCTCAAAGCCTCTATACCTTCTGGGCTGCAGGATTCACATGAAATAATCTGCAATAAAACATGTTATTCAATTTAATCTTGAATCCTTTGTCGCCTTAATGTATCACAACTAGTATAATTACTATGCAAACTACAATATTTTATTATTACTTTACTAGATTTACCTCTCTAAGTGAATGTAGCAGGAGGTACTGGCGCTTGGGCTGGGCTTCGATCTCGCCGAGGATGAAAGGCAGGAACTCGGGCAGGTTGCCCACAGCCACCGAGCCTAACGCGTAGCTCGCCGCAGACTTCACCTCCTCCGACGACGGCGTGAACGAGTTCAACAGTACCTCCTTTAGATTCGGTATCGAACTCAGATCCCTGCAAATAAAGTTACAAATTAAAAAAATAACTAATAATACCAAGAGTGGTCGTGTATTGTGATTTGTTATGTAATTTGCGTCCTATAATCACATGACCGACAAGGCTATATGAACCAGTCAAACAAACTTCCAATAGCTCGATACCGCCCCCTATCGACGTAAAGAAATGGCACAAGATCCTCTTTGTAATATAGCTGTCATATCATTTTCTGTTATGTCATTTTTTAATGTTTAAGTGGGTTTTATATTTATTCCGAGACAAATAACCGGGATAACAGCGCCTCTCTCACTAGTTCAAATATCTTTGACTTTAAATCCTATCATGCGTTTTTAATCGTCTGACAAATATTTATACCATAGAGTCAACTGTAATTAGTCGACTGTCACTTGTCATGTGTGACATGACATGTGTCATATAAGTGTGTATGTGTATACTGACAGCCTGCGTCCGATCTCCGCGAGCGCGAGCAGTGCGAACATGTGGTGGTTGTCGGAGGGTGGGTTCTGCACGTCGCGCAGGAAGCCGCGCACCACGTCCAGCGCGTCAGACCCGCCCTCCACCACCACCGCGCCCACACACTTCGCCAACGAATGGAATGCCTGCGACACAACATACATAAACATTCAACAGTGGAAAATCGCATAAAAACTTAGACAAATCAAATCGCTCAAATGTTAAGAACTTTAGCTAACTTTCAAATTAAAACTCACGAAGCCTTCTATTAAAGAAAATTATGCCCAGCAACATAACTATTTCGTAATTTAAGAGTTTAGGAAGGCCTTTAAGATATTGATAATAATTAAATGGTGGCCTTGTTATTGAATAGTTAGTAACCTGTTTGATGTGATGGGCGGAAGCGTTATGGTCATGCATAGTGTGTACGGGAGCGACCAGCATGGCCAGCAGATCGCGGCGCGAGCATCCCGCCACGTCCGCCGCCACCAACGCGCTCAGCACGCCCAACATCGCCTTTAGCGCACCACCTGTACCGCACGTTCAGCAAAATCAATTGCAGTGTTGTAAACATAGGGCATAAACAATGACATGACTTTAGTCTTATTAGAGATCGCCCATTAATCACGTGAGGCTCGAATAGGGGTTCCGAAAAAAATCAGGAAACATCGCGAGTAGACAGAGGGGATAAAATAAGATATCAAAGTTTTTTCTGACTGATGACTTAAAATTAATGAATAAATTAATATTTTGAAATTTTTACTATTATCTTATAAAAATAAAACTTCACGCGATTAATGGACAGCCAATTACCCTCAATATATAGGGTTCAATTGTATGAAAACAAGTTTGTAAATACCTTGCAGAAGTGGGGACTTGGCGAGGGCGAGTATGTTGGGTGTGAGAGCCTGTCTTGCGTCTGGTGTGAGTGCAGCGGGGCAGCGCAGGCAGGCGCCGCGCACCAGCTGCAGCGCCGTCTGCGCGCAGTGGAGGTCTGACTCGCACACCAGCGCTGGCACCTCCATCAGCACCTGCACCACATTACAACATTACATATAAACCGACAACGACTATACCGGTGGATATAAACCAAACTAAATTATAACAGCTCACTAGCGCCCCTCACACAACATAAAAGTCACAAGATTCTCATTGTCCTGTGGCTGTCATGACATTTTTTGTGATTTTATGTGATGTTATGACTATACCAGTTAGGAGGATAACGCGCCAGTGACGTCACACAGTCTTTGACGGTTATATACTTCGGTATATGAAGCAAAACATTTGTGAACCGAAATCAGTGTTTGGTGTGTCTGTATGTGAGATGCCACACAGACGGCGTACAAACATATAAAACTGTACTTAGTACAGTACTTAGGACTTGTTTAACGAAATGTATTAATACATACCTTACTAAGTAATTCGATACTGATATCATTACTATAATTCTGCACAAGTGTATCTAGCAACACCAACGTCGACAGCTTTAAGGCTCTCTGATTTTTTCTTAAAAACGATCCCAAGATCGGTACAGCATCCGACTGTAAAGAATACCCAAATTTAAAAAAAAAACATAATCAATTTGAATTAACGTTGTTGCAGAGAACTATATACAAATATTTTCTTTGCTTTTACTACTTTGTCTTAGTTTGGATGATAGGATAAAAATGTTCTTACCAGAATAGGTCTCAAGTCGATGCGTAGCGGGGATGCGGCTACTTTGGTGAGTGCTTTGACGGTTGTGAGACGGGTGATCTCGTTACGTAGACGCTCCAACAGTATCGGTAGGCACACGGGAAGTTCATTCTAAGACAAATATAGCCATTAATAACTTATTTGACAATTTCTTACTTTATTGCATACAAATACGATATCCTATCACTAGGATATAAATCCTAGTGCACAGTTACCTGTAGATAATCACCGAAGTGACATAGCAGCTGTCCACAGGCGGCGATGGCGCGCTCCTTCACCTCCTGATCCATGTCAGCGGCGCGCAGTCTCACCAACGTGCACTGGAACATCGCCGGCACGAACTGACGCAGCTCATCCGGCACCTCCGACCTCACACCCGCACCATCTTCGCCTACCTCCTCCTTGTCTGCAACATCGCCTCACATAAGACACGTCATCGGGGACGAAGAAGCTTACTTAATCTTTTTGGATCACAAACATAATACGAACCTAATGGGCGCATGACTTTGACCATTGTCTGCAGCACCCTGAGCGCTTCTGCGGTGACTTTGTAGAAAGGGTCTTGAACGCTGGCTAACACAGCGGGCAGCAGCGCGCTCACGTGCGGCCTCATCGTGTCCGGCGCGTGTCCTCGCACCAGACACACTATGAACACCAACGTCTCTATCTTCATCGAAGACGCGGTGCCCTTGTCACTACACGAAATAAATAATATTATAGCATGAAAAATAAACATATTTAGTGCCAAATTTCATATTAGTATATTGTCGTGATAATCTGATTCTATAAATTTCAAAAACAATTAAACCTTTGTAAAACAATTTATTAGACATGGAGTGAAAAAGTAGTGGTTAATTGGTACAAAACGAAAGTAAAACTACAATTATCATGTAATAAAATAAAGGTAAGGGGTTACGTGAGTGCAGGTGTGAGGGCACGTATAACGCGTGCGGCGTGGTCGGCGAGACAGCCGGGCGCGGCGGCCAGCAGCTCGCGCAGCAGCGCCAGCGCACAGCCCCGCGCACGTGCGCTGCGCCCGCGGATCACACGCAGCGCACCACGCACCACACCGGACACCTTCACATCAGTATTCCGCATGTTAACATCGTTTATATTATACCAATCGTGGATACTTGGGAACTTTTTAAAATTATGACAGGACTATTGTATTATTATTAATATACTGGCTATCACCCGCGACTCCGTCTACGCAGGATTAAAAAAAACTTAATTAGTAGGCTATGTGTTTTTCCAGACTATAATCTACATCTATGTCAAATTTTAGCGACATCCATGTAGCAGTTTAGGAAATACCTGTTAACAAACATCCATCCATCCAAACATTCGCATTTATCATATTAGTAAGCAAGTAAGATTAATATTATTGTATTGTCATGTCATTCACAAATAGAAAGAAATTATTAAAAAAAATGTAACTAGCTCACCCTCTGAAGAAGCAAAGCTTGTGGAGAGTCATCAGAGGGTACGATAGGTATTTGCAGCGCAGGTGGAGGTCGGGTCGCTCTCAATAGAGCTGTGTATGCACTTAGTATGTCACATTTCACATTTTCTTCACGTTCTGTTAAATAAAAACTAAATGTTAATAAACTAGCTTTTGCTCGCGACTCCGTCGGCGCTGAAGTGCTATGTGCTACATCAATGCCAAATTTTATCAAGAACCATTGAGTTGTTTCCGGAGATACTTTCTAATGAACATGCATTCGTTCATCCATCTAAAGTTTCGCATTTATAATATTAGTAAGATTACACACATTAATATTGATTACAATAAGACTTTAAAAAAGCTCACAAGGTGGAATTTACAAGTACAATAGCTTAAAAAAAACTTTCGGCTGGGTTGCTAGTGGTTGCCGTACTCTATATAATTTTAAAAACAAATACATACCTTTAAATCTTGCAATCAATGCAGGTGATACAGTCTGATACATTTCAGCTAACAGCTCATGTCGAGTTGCTATCACTGATTCAAGGCATTTTGCTGCAGCACGTCGCACCTATATGTTACATTGTTTCATAAATATAAGTACTGTGTGTACTAGAAAAATGTAGGAATGGAAACAAATAAAGTAAATGTAGGAACAAGAATTCTCAAAAAATGCACTATATGATTTATGAAATAGAATAAGCAAAAAATCCTAAAGAGTTTTAAATATAATCTAAATACAACATATATTAAAACAGAATCTTGAGCTTTAGTCACTTACACCATGACATTTGCAATGTTACAAAAAACTCACTTTCCAAGACATATCATCATCATCAGAGTATTCTTCGGAGTCAGATTCAGCTTCTGCATCTGGCTCTACTGATTCATCCTCCATTTCTTCATCTTCACCACCTCCACCTTCTTCCTCATCTTCATAGTTGTAATTGGGATCATATGTTATCATCTTCAAGCATAATTCTATAATCTGGAATTAAAATAAACTTGAAATCTGAATTTTAAAATTACACATACTTTAAAAACACACATTAGTAGTGTACTAAAATCCCTACTGATTTAAGTAATAACTTTAATATTTAGTTTTTTTTATTTCACTTTAATTGGAGACTACAAATTTCAATAACATTTATCAATTTAGGTATTTCGTAACAAATACAAAAAACAAAACAGGATATGTGTTAGTCATTTTTCCTGTTACATCTCATTATTAGCCGTAAATAAAGAGTTATTATAAAGAATCATTGATAATTACTTACTGTTGGAATATGTGGTTGCACTTCCTTAGGGCATTTAAGCACAAAAGCTTCAAGTGCCTGCAGGCAGTGCTCACGTAACTCTTCATCTGCATCGGTAGAATGTTCTAACACTTGTGGTGCAACACGCCACAGTTGCTCTCCAAATCTATGACCAGCTTGTCGGCTATACACAATATAGATATAATGTTATGTTACTATCACACTTTAAAACATCATCTTATAAATTATTGCCTTTCATAAGGTTATTTATTTAAAAAACCATATTCCTTTTGGGTAATTAAAAAAATAATTTTGAAAAAATTTGTTTCAAGGCTAGTTTTTATTGAAATAAGTATATTCTTGTCTTACCACACAGAAGCAATACACTGGATATGTGTACGGCTGACACTTGCAGATGTGGATGAACTCAGTCCCTCCAGCAGATGATCAATAAGTTTACTGTACAATGACGCATTGCAAGACATCACCAGATGTGACAGTGCCACTATTGTGCGTTTACGAACAGCCTGAATAAAATTTAGGTTATTTAACACTAGTTACAAATAAGTATTTTTACCTAACATTTTCATATAATTAAGACTTAACTAAATATGTTAACATTAGTCAAAAATAACTCATATTTACCTGACGGGGAGAAGAAAGTTGGGGCAATAAGGAATTCAATAACAATGGATGAAATGATATCAGCAGTCCTCCAAACCTACTTAGTAAGTCTGCCAAAATATCAAGTGCTTCCAATTGAACAGATACATCTTCCTGCTAAAATAAATAATCAAACACTATTTTAATTCATTAACAATTTATTTTGTTTTTAAGTCAATAAACTTCAAATAATAGCAATGATAAAAGTAAAATTACAAGATAGTCAATATCCACCAATTGTTTTAACAATTTCCAACAGATTCAGTAACATGAATAGTTTCTATTTTTTTTATTGCATGTTAGGATATTTTACAGGAAATAACTTAAAACATTAATACTGTTAATAAAATGAATGTAATAGCAACATTTATGTTATTACAATTGATTTTTTAATCAGGGAAATTATTAAATTAGATATAAAATTACCTTTTCAATAGCACTACTGAGTTTCCCAGTTATTTTCTTACATACATTGGCCGCTAATGTATTTGAGCCGAGTGGAAGTTCCGATATCACAGTTTTCAAACCAATACTACTTATATCTCTTAATTGTTCAGTATCAGAGAGCATGTTCGCACAAAGGGTCTCAACAATGCCTTCAACCTGGAACTCCTTCACCTTATTCACGAGAGGGCCAAGACTGAAAACATGAACAATTACTGTAAGCATTATATTGATGATAACTTTAACACAATAGTCCAATAAGGCTTTTCCTTCACCATTTCACAGCTAAATTTTGGACTTCGCCATTTTTGTCCTCTAATAAACGTAAAAGCATTTTGACAACTTTTCTCTCCGAGTCATCATCAAGTTTTATACTATCTTTTTGTAGTTCGGTCATCAAATCGTTAGTGGCCATAAACCTAAAGTCTTTGTCATTAGATGTCATCTGAAAATAAATATAAAGGTAAATCATTATATTTTATTTTAAGATATAGTTTTATGTTTTGGAACCTTGATATATGCTTAAATTCATAACCAACGATTGCGCCGGTTACCTTCTCAAGAAGATGTGCTATTTGATAGGATACACTGGCCATTTTGACTGGATTTAGTCTTCAGGTTTTTAGTATTTCAACTTGACAACTGTATTTTAAGTGATTTTTTAATTTAAACACAAAATGAGTAAGCAAGAAACATTTGAGCAAATTCTGAAATCCAACTTAGAAACCACTGAAATGATCAAAAATTAATTGCTATCAAATCTGACTTATCCAAATCCATTTCATAGTTTACCAGGACCATAGACTAAATATAGGAAATTGTATTGAGGTACAGATAATCCAGACACTATGTTTTTAAAGTAATAAAAGTTAAGAATACATTTGATAAGTTATAATTTCATTACAGAGTGTCTCCAGTCGCAAAAGCAAAATAATAAATTTAAATGGTATGGTAATTGATGAGTCCCAAGATTAAAATCATAAAAACGTATCTTTATAATTATACTACAAGGAATATCAATAATAATATCACGAACCTTCTGAATCTTCTTTCCTTTTTTAGGATCATTTTTCGATAAGTGGTTAATTTTTGTTGGCTTAAAGTTCCGTTACCGCACCATATAAAAAAAACAATTTTTATCTATAACTGTTTGAAATTTGACATTGTCAATTAACATATTTTGATATTGACATTATTTTAAACCAAAATTATAACCTCACTTTATAATTTCATAGATTTTTATTATGTGTTATCTAGGTACATAATTTAAATGTGCATAAATATTACAAAACTGACTTCATTTCAGTGTTAATAATTGTTTAAGTAGGAATTTCAACATGGATTTGTTTATAATTAACAGGTGATAAGATCGCACAATTTTGATTTTAAAGTTATTTTTGGTGTTTATCCACGTGAGTTAAATAAAAAAATTGATAGCAAATTTTATAAGTATAATAAAAAAAATGCGACCTTAAAAATTCCTTCATTGTGTAATATTTTCAAATATGTACATATTTTATTCCTAAGGATAAGAACCTTGAAATTAATAAAAAAATAATAGTAGTTAACTTATACCTAGTTATAAATCTAATATGTCGGTTAACTTAATCAAATCGTTTGCAGATATAATGGAGAAAATGTTGATGAAGACATAATTGATAGAGAAACAAAACATCTTCAGAGATTAAAACAAAAAATAGAAGAGAGAAAAAAAAGCCATGAAACACAAAAGGTTTTAGATGTTATAACACTTAAGCAGGATGAAGAAAAAGTCTTAAACATTGAGAACCAAGTACATGTGGAAGAAAGTGTTACTGTTGATCTTAAAGAAGACGCAAATTACGATTTACCTGATGCAAAAAAATCTGAAAAAAGAAAAAGAGATACAAATGAGAAAGGCGCTGAATTCAAAGTCCTCGGTTTAAATGATTTTGAGAAGAAATCTAAGGTAATTTCTTTGCAACATATTAACACATAATTTCAATATAAATGTCATAACATAGGAATATACAAATATTCCAAGTGAGCTGTGCAGTACCATCCTTTGCATCTTACACCCTACACAGATATAGTGTTTCACCCCCAAGATATTTGAAAATCTCTATGCATAGTCTTACAATTGTAGACTAACTCTTGTTAAATTTTTCAGGTTCAACGAGTTTTACCACATTGGCTTTCTCATCCTTACAGTGTATCAAAAAACCTGCAAAATTTAAATTGTAAGGTAGAAGATCAAACTTGGTTACACAGCATATTGAAGACAACATTACTTAATGAAGGTGTTACTCATTTATTTCCTGTGCAAGAACAAGTTATACCATTTATATTGAATGAACATAAATTACCATATCCACTGTGGCCTCATGATATCTGTGTTTCTGCACCTACTGGTAGTGGCAAAACTTTAACATTTGTTTTACCAATTATTCAGGTAAAGATGAAAAAAATATTTAGCATTACAATTAATTACATTAATTACCTGTCGCCTCCGACTCTGTCTGAATGGAACTAAAAAAAACAATAAGACGCCTATATTTTCTTCCAAACTATGTTCTATACCTGTGCCAAATTTTATCTAGATCCGTTGAGCAGTTCTGAAGATACCTTTAAACTAAATTCCATCCATCTATCTAAGCATTCAGTAATATACACATACATAACATTCCCATATTAGTAAGATTAAGTTAGAAATAAAATTTGATATTTTCAGGTATTAATGAATCAACTTGGACATTACATTAGAGCACTAATTGTTTTACCAGTACAAGAGCTAGCTGTACAAGTTTTTAAAGTGTGTAAGAAATATTGTACCAATACAGGATTACGGACTGCTTTGTTGACGGGTTCAACACCTTTACAGCAAGAACAACAACAACTAATGAAATATAGTAAGCACTCTTTTTTTATAAAACACAATTAAGATTTTAGATGATTTTTTTAATTTTAAGCTTGTATTATTATTTGCCTCATATCAAAATATGTGTTAGATGTTTAGTTCCGCAAACCATAGCTCTTTGACTACTCCTAATTCTCTTGTTTGTCAAAATAAAAAAATTATTATCATGTTTCAGCTGAGTCCTTGGGATGGATCAGCGAAGTGGACATCATTGTGTGCACTGCAGGAAGATTAGTAGAACATTTGCAAAATACCGACGGGTTCTCCTTGAAACATTTAAAATTTCTAGTTATAGACGAGGCTGATAGGATCATGGATAACATACAGAATGATTGGCTCTATCACATGGACAGACATATAAGACATGAAAATGAATTGACATCAAATAAAGTTCCACATTTAAATTGGAATAGTATAAGTGATCAAAAATCTCTGCCACATAAGTTACTTTTTTCAGCGACTCTAACACCTGATCCCGAATTATTAGAACAATGGGGATTATTCCAACCGAAACTATTCTCTGTTGCACCAATTTCAGATTTTGATGGAGGTAGTTTGATTAAAAAGTATACAACACCAGATGAATTAATAGAAAACTATGTGGTGTGTAATGCTGAAGAAAAACCACTTATGTTATTCCATCTATTAGTAGAAAAAAAATGGGATAAGGTGCTTTGTTTTACTAATTCAGCACAATCAGTACACAGATTGGCTGTACTCCTTAATGAATGGGGTAAAGATCAATGTCTTAAAGTAGCCGAGTTATCATCAGCATTAGACAGAGCATCAAGAGAAAAAGTGCTTGAAAAATTTAAACAATCAGAAGTTAATGTGTATGTAAATGTTTTTTGTATTCTTGCTTAATAGGTAAAGTTTGATTTTTAATAATTGAATATATTTTTCAGGATAATAAGCACTGATGCTTTAGCTAGAGGAATTGATATTCCAGATTGTAACTATGTTGTATCATATGACCCACCAAGGAATATAAAGACTTATGTTCATAGAGTGGGTAGAACGGGAAGAGCAGGTAGGATAGGACGAGCAGTGACAATTCTAAACCACAATCAACTAAATATGTTTAAGGTATGCTTTTTTAAGATGCATGAATATTTCTTGTTTCTAAAATTTCATTTTTAGTACACTTTTTATTTAAAATTATATTTTAGGAACAAATACAGTCTAGTGGAAAAAGTGAAATAAATCAATTAGAAGTATCGGAAGAATCCTATAGTCATTTGTTGCAAAGTTACGAATCTGCAATCCAGGAAACAAAACAAATTATTCATACCGAAATAAATAACAAAGTGAAAAAGTCTATTGAGCTGAAAAGGGGTATGAAGAAAAAATCAAGAAAGAGAAAACATAACGAATAAATAAAGTTACTAATTTAATTACCCATTCAAACGGAATTATAAGAATTATTTTATAATAATCTGTTTTATTTACTTAAGCCATTATTGTAATCAATAGCTGAATTGGTCCATGGTCCCTGCTACGTTAGACAAAATAAGAGGGTTATTGCCCATTCAAGCCAAAGTAAACTTATGTTGTTAACTTTACAAAAGAAGCCATTTTAGATGATACAAAACCTCTAATTTTCTTACAAGGTAACCAAATGTAACATACTTTTGTCTTCACTTATAAAGCCTACATAATTTTTGGTATTATTCGAATGACTAACAAAATGGCTCGGATCCACAGCCGCAAACATTGTTATTAAAAAATAGTTTGACACTATGGTTCCACTTGAAATTTGACACTTATAAAATTTGTAAATAAACGGTCCAACGGTATTTAAAATAGAAAAGTTATAAGTAATTTCTTTTCAAAGTCATTCTCTATTAAAGATACAAGATTAATTAAGTTACAACGATGACGAAGTCATCAACCACTGTTGTTCAGTCCCATATAGGCACAATAAATTTTCCTAATCCCGTAAATAATATTGAAGCTCACTTTTTATATCCTAAATTGGCTATAATAGAAGACAGAAGAAAAGTGACTATTATAGATATTGAGTGTGAATTTAATAACGAAACACGCAAATCATTCGTCTTTGATTTGGAAGAAGATATTACTGATAACATTTTGCTGGAACATCTTCTTTGGCTTACACTCAAGTCTTATGTACTTGTAGTAATAAACATCAAGACAGGTACCTTAGTAAATATAAGATGTAACAATTATGCGAACTATAAAATATGCCAGTTTTACAAACATAACAATAATCTGGTTTTAATGAGTGAAAGTGGAGAGTGCCTTGCCTTGCCATTTTCAGCTACACAGTTAGATAGTTATATAAAACAAAGTGATAATGAAATGATCGTTACTCTTGAAAAGTTACACATTTCTCGCTCAGTTCTTAAATCTCAAGAAACTCTTACTTTATTGAATGAGTTGAATGCTTACATTGAATCTGGCAAAGTGATATTACAATGCAGCTCAACAGGTGTGATCGATGTATTGTCTACTGATGCACTGTTAGAATATATTGTTCCATGGACCAACTCTCTGATAATGGCTAATCAATCTAACATGTGGATGATCGATCTAAGAGATTTTAGTACAACATATCAATTTTCAAATGAAACATCTAAGTATTATCCACTTAAGGCTGTGAATAAAACATTCTATTATATATTATGGGATAAAGAACAGGTAAATATCTTATTATTTTTTGATAAAGATGACAAACATGCGTCATGCATCACCTGGTGTTTGTGATTACAACTTTAACTCAGCTGAATGACTCCTACACCATTGATTCATGTAAAATACATATATAACTATTTCAAATAAGACCATATCAAGGGTTCCTGTCCTCCTCCCCCAGAGTTAGGCTAGATCATCAGCTTGAGAAAAGAACCAAAACACCAATCAGATGAAATATAAAAAAGATGTCTACTTCATCAGTCTTCTGTGCAATTGCGAGAATATTCTATTTGTTTGATCTTTATTCAAAATGTCAAAATTTTTTAAATTTTTCCAGGTGCAAGTTAAAAGTGCTTCAATCTGCCATAATGAAAATGATGAATCAGAATCTTCAAATAATAAAGTAACAAGTAAAACTACTCAAGACAATCTTAAGGTGCAGTTGAACACTATTGTCAGTTCAGCAATTTCAAATGTAAAACCTGCTCAGGTATTACCACAGCTACAATCATTATTTAACAACATAACAGATTTTAATTTTCTTATCAATGCTGCCATAAAACTTTGTAAACAAAACATTTCATATAAAGTTATTGTTTATCCTCTACAAACAAAAATTATAAGCAAAAATGATAATGTTTTAATAAATTTAATCACTGATTTAACAAATAAAATAGATTTGCTAGAGTATATACTCTTTAGAGGTAATAACTTTTATGAAGATGTTGATCTGTTTGAACTAAACTTTATTCAGTTATGTATTTTATTTATATCTAAATCAGACTTAGATCTGGCTTCAATCTGTTGGTTAAAGTATTCTGAAATGAGGCTTCAAATTCAACACAGTGACATTGTTAATTTTCTTAAAGCTATACCTTATAATATTAAAATTGGAGCTTTAATTATTTGGTTAAATAATTTTGTACCATCTATTTTGGAGGAAAACCCATTTTATGTTGACTTATTTGTTAAATGGACCACTGAAAGAATTTTTTATTTAGAAAAATCACCATATTGGCCTAAAATAGGTGTAAAATTTATACAAGAAATCATCAATGTTCTAGAAACATCAATAAAAACAATTTCAATAAGGCCAATGTCATTAGATGATTTAGATATATTGAAAGATCGAATCAATTATATAATGGAACTCAAAGAGAAGTACAAAATAAACATGCTGCTAAGCGAGTTGAGCTCACAGAATCCCACTGAAGTGGCTGTAATAGTATTACGTCGCTGCTACACAGAAGATTTAGAAGAATTTCTACAAAATAATTTACCCAGTTATGCTACAAGACATTTGTTTGATTTGGATGATTTGTTATATTCTTTTATTGAAAGTGAAGCAGCTGCCAGTGGAGGTAGTGTTGATGGTGTCCGTTTGCAACTGTTACTAAATGCATTTCGTTCAAACAGTAACAAACTTAAATGCCTTTTACAAGTTTTGAAAGTGTTAGATGTACCATGGAACAGTAAAATATTAGAACTTGCCATTACTGCTGCAGCTTCAGCCAACACAGACTTTACAGTCACAGATGAAGATAGAATTTTAGCGCAGGATATACATATAGAATTAAACTATGCAAAAGTGAAGGTAGTTTTGAAAAAGTATAACTTTCCTTTGACATGTACGGATTATAATTTAGTTATGCATAAAATAATTGATGCGCCATCTATTGATCTATGTGATTTAAAAGTTATTACTACAGTATTACCTCTATATACAAACACAAGCCACATATTATATATTGACAAATGCTTACAAAATTGTGAAACTAAACTGGCATTAAATTATTTTGAACAATTGCCCAATAAAGATAAAAAAATGTTACTCAAAACAGTAATGAATAAATATGAACTTATCAACATTGGAATTGATTTTAATGCTACTCTTGAGAGAAATTATCTTGATTTTTTAAAAGGCACAAAATCTGTTAATAAGATTCAAATGAGAACTTTGGAAAATATGTATCATTTGAAAAATTCATATGGCATAAAATTAAGTATTGATGCTATGTATACAGAAAGTTGTTGTACAAGAGAGGTGGACATTTGGATTCAAAATGATGGCGCATCGGCTAGTTCAGGGCGTGGTAGATGTCTATCAAAGTTGGTGAATAAAGATTTATGTAGAAATTCTGCTTTAGTAGCACTTTTACGACGAACGTCTACAAGTCAAGAAGTATGCAAAGTCATTGAATTCATGATAACATCCGATCCATGTAGTCAAAAAATGACTCAAATATTGCAAGCCTTTAAAGATGGAAATAATTCAAAGCTTTTAATAGAATGCAACAATGTCTTAACACAATTGGTGTTAAATTGTGATGAAGAAGATATACATATTTTAATCACAAGAATGTCGATTTTAAATTCATTAATTAACACTAATGTTGTATTGAAGAACTTGTCAGTGGCATGGAAATTCCATTACATATTTTTACCTATTTCTTCAGTTAATGCATTAAATGATTTGATTGATTTTTATGGTAAAGTATCAACAAACGAATTAAATATAGAAAGGGAAATTCTAAACATAAGCAATAAAAACGACTTGATTCCATTCAGAGTAATATCTTATCTTATGGTTACAGTATTCGAAATGGATAGAAGTTCATGTGATGATTTATTGAAAGTAAGAGATGGACTAGCGAGAAAACTATTAAGTAAAATAATTTCGTTACAAGACATCGATAATGCATTGCTGACTATTTTATTAATAATTTTAACTCGATTTGAAGACGAGAACGATAACACGTGGGTATTAGAAATTCTACGCGCACAAAGTGAAACGTTGGCGCCATCCATTATGCATTATTTATCTGTACCGGTAACACGAAGTATATTTGGATTGAGTACAATTTTGCCAGGAAACTTAATCACTTACCCTCCTCAATATGTATTAAAATCAAAATTCAATATAGAATTGTCAGAAATAGCACTACCAGATGGAACTGAAGAAACTTGGGACGTAAAAGTTGTTCTTTTCCATGTTTTGAGACAGTACCCTAATACTACGCTCGAGCGACTTTATGATTTATGCCGTACCTTCAATGTAAGTTTGGATGATGGTTTATCATTGTTACTTATATCGGTGTTAATTAATTGGAATCTAAAATATAAGTTGATCGAAGACGATCTCGGTTGTCGTAAACTTAAATTGGATAACGATGAGAGAGAATTAGTCACAAGATGCCACATAATTTGGGACAGCATAGAAAAGATAAATTTCATTCAGGACATATTGAACGACTTTTGGAAAAGTGGTGAAATAATATTACATGGTTCAGTGATTTCGATTAATCCGTATTATTATGAGGTATACTTTTGCATATATCTGTTGTTATTTGGTTCGAGTACGGAGCTCCGCAATAACAAGGAATATTTCTTACTACACTTTTTAAAATATTACAAGAGAAAAGGAACTCCAAAACAATACGAGTATGAAATGTTTTCTGTAAAAGGAATGTTTCCAGAAATAGGCTATTACCGACTACCTTTTCATCTCTTTATGCGAGAGGATATGTGGACTCATCTAAAATCGGAAATAACTTTAGAAACGTATGAGCGTTGGCTTCAGATTGTTTCAATATTATCACTCAATAAAGATTTACAAACGGCAAAGGATATGATTTGTAGCAACGCCGTGAAGCAAACTATGACATCGAGAACAAAAAGCGAAGAAGCAACACCAAGTTCAAAAGAGAACGAACCGTGGCGTTTAACGTCAAGGGAAGAACCTTTGCTTCGCACAGCTCATAAGTGTGTTCGCCACATTGCTAATATGGAATGGGCCGGTGCATGTTTGTTCTATGTTCTTCAGGGCTGCGCGCGTGGGGCCGATCAGGTGGCAGCAGCACATTTATGTTTTCAGTTTTCTCAGCGTTGGGCCACTCTTCAGCCTGGAAATCGCGCCCTTCGGCAAATGGAACGTTTGTATGCCACTTTATCGACTCGCCATGCATTGCATAATATAGATTGGGCTTGTGAAGAATTTATTCGATTGTCCACTGAACCTGCACAACTCATTCATGCCATGTACCTTCATCCTGATTTTGTTGATAAGATCGCACGCTATGATGTTAATCGAGCTGCAAATGAAATTGCAGATAAAAATAATATAAATATAAGTACTATTCGAATACAAATTTTAGAAAATTTACTCCAAAAGAGCGAAAAAGAAACCGAGACGTCGCCAGGACTAAACACAAAAGAACTCATAACAGCTAAGTATATACTGAGAGCAACGTGTTCAAAAATGGCGGCTATTTATTTGTCTAGAATCGCTTTAGACGAGGAATGTGAATTTAATAAATGCAAAAAACTTAGAGCTTTTCAATGTTTGATGAGTGTTGTAGATCCTGACACTGCCGTAAAAGTCACTAATCGGGAACGTGATTCCCTTTGGTCCTTACTTTTAGAATTATTGTATGTTGTTAATCTTGAAAAAATTGACATGCCCTGGGTAGTTGCAACATTTGTGCAAGATAAGGTTCACGCTCTTCAACAATTGCTCCAAGTTGCGAACGGCAATATTGAAGGCTTGAAAATCGCCGCTGCCCTGGCTCTAAGATACGGAGATGCACATATTATACGTGAGCTAATTCCTCTACTAGTTCGAGCATCCTTACACGACGAAGTAATCCCCTTGCTGTTAAAATATTGCCATATTCTAGATGAAGTTGTATACACGGCTTGGCGTGCAGTTATGCTTACGCCATTCCAGAGGGCAGATTATCCCATCACAGAACGACAAAAGAAAAAATGTCTAAAGGTTTTAAATTTACTACCTGTTTGTCCTTTGATAAAAGATGAAGATTTGTTAGAAATATGGAAACATTGTGTACGATGTAAATGCCTAGGTCTCGGTTGCTTAGTTTTACCATATATAACACCGCAAACTCGGCAAAAATTAACAGAACTTCAAAAAATTGATAGAAGAAATCTAATAATAAGCATCAAAAATTTACACGCCGAGTCGTATCTTGTTCCCGGCGCAATGATTGCCCTTGAAAATTTAGGTTCAAAAACACACAGATAAAATGTGTTGAAACCTTTTTTAAATATCTTGGCGGCTGATCTTAAGCTGCGGGCTGTGATGTGTCCTTCCCCGTGTTCCTATGTGTCCCGCTCCGCCTAAAATTGTTTTCTGCGAAGCGACTCGTGCGATGTTCGCCACTAAGATAGTAAAGAAAACACTGTATAGAATTATGCAGAGAAATAATGCAAACCAATGTGTAAGTTTTGCACAAACCTGTATGGGTGAAGAAGGGTTTTATTTCAAGAATCTTGTGGTTATATTTTTAAATAATCGAAATGTATAGCATTATTGTGTCATATAAATAACTTGTTCATTGGAAATAAGGAAATTAATAGAAAACATACTTTTACTCAACTTGCACATAAAATTTTTGATCATTTTTGCATGTACAAAAATAATAAAATGAGAAAAGATTTCAATTTTTGTAATGAATAAAGCCTAATACAAACTGGGCTTATTTTAATATTCCATCCACAATTCATAGCTGTATTATCCCTAAATAAAATACTTTATTTAATATTATAAAATGTAAAAAAGTCCTCCGGTGTGAGAGTGGCATGACTGACTAATGGCACCCTCACACTTGTGGACCAGTTTTATTTGTATATTGATAACATTTTTATGTACATAAGTGAATAAATATTTTAAATTTATTTTTGGCCTTTTTAATTTGATTATAATATCTACAGAATATATATATATATTATAAACCCTCAATAGTAATCCCCAAGTCTTTGGATTAAAGGCTGAAAAATGTTAGTGTACTCACAATACTCGGTTGAAGCTACAAGATTGTCTTCTGTAATCACTGACGGTAAATAAATCCAACCAAGACATTTTAAGAAATTTTAATTTACCTCACAAATGGATTGCAAGTAAATGACAATGATTTTATATGATTTACTGCTGGCAATGCCATTTCAAATAAAGGACCATAAATTCCATGACCATGGGCAAGTTGTTCAGGTGTTTCCTTTGATTTATTTTTTCTCTGAGCAATGTTTACAATGTCTTCTCTTAATAATAGTATGATTAAAGTTGATTTACTATGACTTAATGCTGACGCTAAGTGCAATGGTGTTTGTTCTGCAACAATATACATTATATAATTATTGATTTGTTAAATAAAAATCCTTACGAATATTAAAAATGTGATAGTAACTCTGTGTCCTGTTTATGCTAAAACTACTTAATAGATTTAAATGAAATTTGGTACAGAGATAGTCTAGCATGAGAAAGGATTTCTCTGCTTTTTAATACGAAAAAAGATTGTATTGGGATGAACATGCGGTGGAAATTTGTATGGGAATATCATCATTTTTACAGTAAGAAGCTAGAAACTCATTTTTTCTGCTGTTAATTTGATATAATTAATTATCAAATTCAAAGTTTGTAAGTTTTACCTTGAAGGTTGCAAAGTAACAATAGATGCATGAAAGGTTGTATATATTTTGTTATAATATTTTATTGAAATGATTAGCCTAAATCTTTTAAAATACTATCTGTTTTTTAAACATATCCTACCTCCATCTGATACAGCAGCTGGATCTGCCCCAGCCGCTAGTAGCCTTGCAGCAGTTAAATAATTATTCCAATTGCATGCTGAATGTAGTGGAGTCCATCCTAGCTCAGTTCTTGCTGCTACTTTTGCTCCAGCACTTAACAAATATGCAACACATGCTAAATGATTTCCATATGCAGCACGATGAAGTGGTGTATAGCCATCAGAGTCACTTACATGGACAAGACCGGGGCTAGTTTTTACAATTTCTTTTAGAGCATCTAATTCTCCATTTTCAGCAGCCCATAACACATGATCAACTGGATTGTCTGAAAATATTACACATTTTATATGTATCTTATTCATTTAATATAAAAGAATTTTCAGTATATTTATACCTTCAAATCTTCCTACCTGTTGTTTTAAAAACATTAATATTTATTACCTACCTTTTAGATTTTTTACAATGTCTACATCTTGATCTGCGTCATCCCATCCAGAAACAAACATCCCAGATGTTTCAGGGTTTCTTTTACAGCGCGCAATCTCTTTGGCGATTTCTTCATAATTGCGAGCATTAACAGATTCCTCTTCTGAATCCGACATTATTAAAATGTATCTTGAAACTTGAAAGATAATTTATACCATTTATAAAGCAAATCCGGTTGTTATTTATCGGACATGATTTGTTTTCGTTATTGGATTTATATTGCTTGATGTGTGTTATCAAGAATGACGAGGACGACGTAACTTTAGTAGTACGTTTTCGTTTGATTTAGGTATTTTGTTTTTTAACCACGATACGATATATTGTTGTATTGCCTTGCTCTGAGTGTAGAGAAAGTACATCTTACAAGATAAATGCACAAATCAAAGATAATGATGCATATCAGGAGATATTGCATTAAAATTTGTAAGCAATAATAGCTCAAATTAACGAAACCAATCTACAAAGTTATGTCTTCTTTTTATTAACAATTGTCAAATATATCAAGCTAGTTTTAAAAAAAACTGAAACGTTAAATATAAATGAAAATCGGCCTTTCGAATTATATTAAATCTTTTATAATTAAAAATTGCACATAAAGTTTAAATTCAAAAAATTAACAAAACATTTTCTCGTCAGTTATCATAAAGCAAAAACCAAGCCATAGTTACTAAGCTACCAAAAAACGAAAACTTATGTCAACACTGAAAGTGGCCATGATTTGATTGGTAATATATTTTCAACATGGCGTCTAGCCTAGTTGTTCGGAGTGTGTGTGTGTGAAAGTGCAGTGAAATTATGTTAATATCAAGTGTTTTTAGTGATAATATTAGTTTTTAAGTGAAAACAGTGTGCATTAATGCAGTGGTTAACCTATAATGGCTTTGGATTTACGCTTGCACTCTCCTGTAGGCGCGGAACCCGTTGTTTATACATGGCCCCTCACATCGGGTCATGGCTCGGTAAGAAACTTATATTTTGAATTATAGAATTTCAAAAACAAGTTTTTGTGATATAAAAACAAAGTCGTAACATTAGAGGAACTCGTTAAATCTATTGGTGTAACAACTCCTCACTGCGGAACATAATCAGTAAAGTTAGAAATATTGAATCTAAGAACGTGATAAACGTTTTGTTTTTAGTATCTTACATAAGTAGACGGTATAAATAATATTACTAGTTCTTGCATATATTGTTCATATATTCTGTGGGTAGGAGATCCCAAAAAGTGTATAGGGTATTGCTCACATCACATGGGTAGTGCAGAGTGTATTGACCTCGTGTTTTGTCAAGGTGTCGGCTTTTTTTTTAGATATGTACACACTGTTGCGTATTCTTCAATCGTCATTTATTTACATTTTACACTTTTCCATACTATGTATGTGTAAATGTGGTATCAGGTGTCAGAACTGTGTTACTCAATGGATGGGTTACTATTCTATTTTTATTTAGTTTTGCTCACAATGATCTATTTGTATCATACCCTTCATTATTATTACTATGAGGAAGCATTTAAAGTTAACTATTTACCCAATAGCCAACTACCTTAAATAAAACTTATAGTGAAGGTAAACATATGAAATTCTTGTGTATATATAATTTACTAAGTAATATACTGTGCTTATTACATTTTTTTCTTGGAAATATTGATGTCATTTATAAATATTAAGGTAACTCTTTTAATAGTGACACTCAAAATACACTCATTAAAACTAAGCATTTATTGTTTATTTTTTATTGCTTTTGAAAACATACCTATAATAAACTATGGTGTATTAAAATGAAAACCTTTATATTTGATTTGTTATTGAAGTAAATTGTATTTAATACAATAGCATTATGTTTGTGTATATCCTTGAAAATATAATTTATAATTGAAATTTTGTAAAAACTGACATTACAACATTAAATACTTTATATTCAAGTCTACTTATTTTTTAGTAAAGTTGATGTGAAATTTTTTATGTGACAATTTCAACCATCACTCAGATAATGCACCATATACACTCATTCAAATTACAGACTGTATAGTTAAAGCCTTTTTTTACATTATTGAGTAGATTTCTACAAAGTAGATGACAGCCAAATAATAGTGAATTAAAAAATATGTTATCTGCCAATATTAAATACTTATACTACTTATTTAATAATAATTGATATTTGTTCACATAATTTAGGTTTGGGGTTAGAGTTAGCATTTTATATTTTTTTATATCAATGCTATGTATATCAGTATATTATTAAAATAATTTATTTTACACACAAAATTTAGTATTCTAGTAGGCTTTTGAACTTTTGACCTTGATATGTTCAGTTAAGTATGAAACATTTGTTAGCTTCTTAACCAGTTGATTTGTACATTTTACATATTCTAAAATAGATAAGGGAAATACAACATTGTAATCAAATGTGATACAGGAATCTATAAACAAACATTTAAGATCCAGATAATGTATGCCTATTTGTTTAATTTTTATTTGAAGTTAAGTGAAGTAATAAATGATAAATTATTATGTTCTAAGTTGAGGCAGTACAAATGAATAAACGATGATATATTTAAAGATATTAGTTTAAAATATAGTCAGTTGTGTTATAGGAATCGGATAGTGGTTAAAGCAAGATATGATACCACTGGAATTTTTTACAACCTTTTGATGGCTATGTACCCTGTTCCAAACCTTAAATAGCCATATTAAGGTGGCCATGGTTAGGCGAATGATTCATATATTTATTTATTTTATTTATTTAAGCTTTGTACATAGTTTAAAGTACATAGTGTAACATTACATAGATTTGCTTTTATGGAGAGTATATTTTTGCTTAAAACTTTATTAACAATCTCTCTATTTACCATTAGTTGGTATCTTTGAAGTTTGACAAAATAATACTTTTTAATAAATTTGCATCAGGATTGGATATAGTAGTTTTGGATACTATCAGAGACAAAGTAGATATGAAATAAGATATAAATAGGCTAAAGCAATGAAGTTTTTCTTAAATTGGTATTTCCTTGTTTCAGGACAAACACGATGGTGCACTAGAAATAGTAGAAACAATAAGGTAATAAATTTATTGATTTATAAAACTTGATTTATGCAGTGTATTTCCCAAATAAAAATGTACCAGTAAATTACCTCATACATGTTTAAAACTCTCCTTGTTTTTTGCCATTCTATAAAGTATATACAAAAAAAATTACTATTGTTGTATGTATGTTTAACACAGTCAACATTAGTTAAATATGGTACTAAGTTTTATGATTTCAGCTCGCCTTAATTTGTTGCTAAAAGTAGAATGGATACCATACTAATTGCTATGAATCATTATTGACCTAATGACTTACTTGTTAACCAACAAACAACACTATTGTAGCATTTGCACTTTAAGCTTATAAATATGTAGGTGAAAATTACTTTGTTGGTATCAAAAAAAACTGGTTTATAATATATTATTTTAAGCCAGAAAGTTTGACATAGTTTTTGCTGTACAATTTCATAATAGTAAAGGTCTGAGACAAATATTCTGTCTTGTATTGCAAAAATGCAGTAAAATTTGTTTATCATGACTGCATATATTGAGCAACTGCTTAATATTACACAGCGAAGTATGGTATTCATATAATTTATTTTATAATAAAATCAGATACAGTAACTTGCTTATGTGACCCATTTTTAATAAATTGTAGCCCGTTACAGTGATCATCATGATACCTAACACTGAAACTATTTTACAATGTAAGAAAAAGTATTACACATTTCTCATGTAAAAAATTAATTGTTACTTCTATCCATTAAAACAAACATATTAACAAAACGGGAGATTTTTTATATTCCACAACATGCTTTGTATTATGTCACAATGTCATTTTTATGGAACATTTGGGATGAGAATTACTATAAACAAGTGATTATATATTATAATTACATAAATAAACTAGTATTCTGGGGAAAAATAGGAATTTGCAACAGAGCAGACAGGCTATCTGTCAGCCAAAATATACTGTCAGTCAATACTGATTTGTGTTTGCTTTACATAACTAAAATATTATTTAAATGCTATTCCATTTGTGTAAAAACACTTTTTTTAAATTATGAATACCCAAAAAACCTATTAGATTATACTTTTGTTTTCTAATTGACACTGTGCTCTAGTTACTGTCAACTAGTTGCATCAGTGCAGGCTGCAGGTAGAACGAAGGACGCGCGTGTGTGGCGAGGGCAATGGCCGACCGAATGATATTTCGTCTGTAATTATCATTCATGCATCGTCTAAGCAATTAAACAGGATGACGCATTTTATTAATGTTTCAAATAAAACTTGTAATTTTTAAAAATACGCATTATTAGAAAGTTTAAGTTTGAATTTGTAAGACTGGAAGCTACATAAAAAATTGTTACTTTTTGTAATTTGAGATTCGCTACGCTAATAAGACCAAAATCTTTGTATAAAATATATTGTCATCCCGGTAATTATCTTTGGCAAAACTGGGATAAAAATATGTTTTACACGGGGATTTTGGTCTCGGAATCCCACGGTAAGTCATGTATTATTCTATCAAACAAAGCGTTCGATTTTTGGCATGATATTACGGAACGGATAAAAAGATCAGTTGGTCTCGTACGTCGGAAATGAGAAGTTGTTTGGCAAGTTGACCCGCAGCCCACAGCCGCAGTCCGGGGCGGGCGTCGGGTGGTCGGAGCGGCGCGGCGGCGGGATAGCGGGGGTGTGCACTCGGCCCGACATTGCGACCTCTCCTCGACCGGACGCGTTCACTCTTATTTCGTGCCCTTGAAACTGGATAAAGAATGTACAGCTCGAAATTAACTTAATATTAATCCTTTATAATGGATCAGGCTTTACGGTGCCTTAGTAACAATTACGTTAAACGTATTGTGGTGATTATTCACCTATAGTCTTATTGGTTTAAGATTTTAACAATGAAAAGTTTAACTATATTTGTATTTATTTCCTGTGTCACATTTATAATTAATGAACCAATATTTGATGAATTTACTTCAAAATAATGCATTTCCAAACTATTGTAGACAGTAGAATTTGAACTTTTAAAACCCACTTTATTTACTAAAGGCATGAGCCATTCATCTTTGAAAGTTTAAGGTGCACACCTTTAACTGCAGAGCCCAGTCCAGTTCCGTTATTTTACAGCTGCTTTTAATCTATTGCCGTCGCCCCAAACACCTGCTACTGTTCCATAAAAACAGCAACTAATGCAATGAAACTAGCGAGAGCTTATAATTTTAATGGGCAATATGTTAAAAAATACTTTCAACACGTACTTTACAATAAATCTATGGATCCCACGTAAATAATTGTATCACACAATTATACAATTTATATGATGTTATAATTTGTTAAATTAATTTAGATTTTGGTCGTCTATCCTGTTGCCTTTGCTTGAGTTCTTTCAATTTACACGATTATTTATGTAGGCACCAGTTCTGTCATTCGTGTATTTATTATTATTTAGTTAAATACAACAATTGTTTTTTGTTATTTATAGATGGGTTTGCGACGACTTGCCCGAACTGAAGGCGGCGTTGGAGAAGCACATTCTGTGCGACTATGACACGCACTCGTACGAGAGCATGCGTGCTCTCTGCGACAGATTCAACCGAGCCATTGATTCCGTTGTTGCATTGGTAAGTTTTTTCTCACTTATAATTTTTAATGTGTGACAAACAAAAATAAGTTATGAAAATATTGGTCATAGTTTCGATTTAGTAATGTCAAGGTCTGAGTTCGATATCCCTTCAGGCGATACACTCGATTTGGAAATTGAACCATCCAAAGAAGACACTCGAATGCTACTCATATTGTGTTATTGCTACACTACTGGTATAACTACAATATGGAATAACTATACAGTAAAAGTATTTTAAGTATCCTTGAAGCGTTCTGCTATCATCACTTCCTACTTCCCTTGCCAAATGTTGATCACTAACAATTTGAAGGGCATCTTACGTCGTCTCTGAGCGATGTATGCTAGTCCATTACACTGGATTTATTACACTTTTTAAATCTTTGTGTCATTGATATATATAAGTAAACAACCTAATCGTCTTTTCACCTTTTGTATATCAGAACAAAACAATGAACTATAATTAGTGCTATATATGATCGCCTTTGTCGTTCAAATCATTTAGGATTATATCGAGGCGAAGAAGTGTAGGGAATAATATTCTATAAATGTTTTAACATATTTTTGGGCCAGAAACCTTAAAACACGCTGCCAAAGTTTGATTCCAATGCGATCCAATCGTTTGTCAGTCTATGTAATGGCACCCGCATGGTGAAATTTCAATGTCATTGTAATCTTGTGTTCTATTTAGTCACGGAAGCAATTTTATTGAAATCGATAAATACAAGGCTATATCTTGTGATCACTATAAACATCTAATCATATCATGACCATTGTTATGAAATACACAATTTAATTTTTATGTTAATAAATTGTATAAAATGAACTGCCTTATAGGTGGAAATAATGTGGTTAAGTATAAGAAATGTTACAAGTCCTATCGTATTTTAATGTACGTTTGCCTTAGGGCGGCGCGGTGTTATCGCAGGCCATTAGTACTCGTTATCTCGGAAGGTCACTTCTGTACCGATGTTCACCTTCGGAACGTGCTGCAACACAGTTTGCTTTACACTATCGTGTTTCTATACATTAATTGCGCAGTAGGTCCACATTATATTTTGCTATTATAAGGAATATCTAAAATTCTTTAACTACACCTTACCAGCTCCAGAGAGACATGTACAAGCGTTAAATTCTTTAAATTTATCTCAATTCAAGATTAATGCAGGTTTCCGAATGTAACAGTACAACTTTCATTAAAGCTGACCCAATATGTGTTGTGTTTTTTAAGGTATGTATTTATTTTGTGTACTGATTCTTCGTCAACGCAGAATATAAGATAGTCTATAATATGCCGGCATGAATAAGCCGCCTTCAAGTCAAAATTGGGCCATTTATTGTAAAGATCTGCAGCACATTACACTTGGCATAGTTTACACGTCGCGGAAACATCTTCAATGTCACCTTTATTTATTTATTTATACACTTCCTAGATGTACACTCCGTAGGATATTTGCGTATGAACTGTAAACATTCCGCATCTACAACACGCATAATTCACCGTTTGACCTATTTCCATAGTACCGTGTGCAGTTTAACGTATAATACAGCGAGATATTATTTTTTCAACGCTACTTTTATACAGGGCAGCAATCTCGTGCACACAACGATCATACTGTGTAGCATGTACGAAATGAAAGAGTGAATGTGGGACAGCACGGGGCCGCGGCAAGGGGCGCGGGGGCGGGCGGAGGCGGCTCGTCGACTGCAAGAGGGAGACACGGGGGCCAAGCAAGATGGCGGCGCGGCGAGGACGCAGCGATCGATGTCCGCAGCAGACACCGCGCGAGGCTACTCTATTTATAAGCGTCGCATACCATTTCTCACCGCGCCGTCGAAGTACATGACAATAATAAGCCCGAATCTATTCACATGTACATCTAACGCTCCTTCTTTATTTAGTGGCCGATATATGTTCGTAAACTGATGCCTCATCACTTACGTAGCCTCTACCGCGGTACTTGCCAAATGCGTAGTATTTATAGAAGAATGTATTGTTTTAGTCTTTGGTACCTTCGATGCTCTTTTAATGACTTGCAAGTTCGTTTACCTTTGTCCTTACCTCGTTCCTATATCATTAACAAAATTTTAAATATTAATCTTTTATTTTTAAATGTAATAAATAAATATTGATAGGTAACATGTATAATAATTATATCACATGGTCTTTTCTTTGTTAACAAAAGATACCTCGATTGGGAATTGGGAACTCGGGATTTAGAATTACATTTCAGTAATGTAAATTTATATTTATGGAAATAAAAAATGCACGAAGTAGTTTTTAAAAGGATGGTCACTTTTAGAAGTATTAAAATATTTTTTCGTACGACAACGAGTAAAATATAATGATAAGTTTCCAGCTAACAGTTGCTTCTTTTTGCACGCTATCTACTTTCAGGTTTGGCCCAAATACAGTTATTACGGTTAACGGCTGTGTATGATACGTTGCAAAAAATTGTCTTTTCAATGTTTAAAATTGTTATTTTTTTTAATTCTGTCTGTCTGTCTTGCATGCAAAAAACTACTGAACCGATTTAAATGATATTTGGTGCAAAAGTTCGAGAAAGGACAGAGACTACTTTTTTTTAATGTAAAAAAGGGTTGAATGGGGGATGTAAAGTTGTATTGGAGTGTCGTCATTTTTATAGCTAGAAGATTGAAATTTATTTTTAAGTTTGTTAAATTGTTTATAACTTTGTAAAAGTTTACCCTCAAGGTTGCAAAATAACAATAGAGATAGGGGATGAAAGTTTGTATGAGAATTTGTAAGGTTTATGTGAATGTTTAAGTAAAATATCGATAATTGTTAAATATGCAAGAAGTATTTTAAGCGGACGAAGACGCGTGCAACAGCTAGTAAAGTATATAAACAGAAAATAACTTATGTGGACTGTAAAACTTAATGGAGATTATCCACGATGTTGACCTTGACCTTGTTCTTAGGTTAGTAGGGCTACAGTGATGGCTTTTAACAAGGACGAAGTTAAGTTGCAAGTTCAGAGACGCTAGAAATCGTCTGCTTTTAAATAATGTCACACTAAGTTGTATTGCACAAATTTCATTCGTTTTCACTAATCACACTTTACACTTAAATTAGCAGAAATATTTAAACAGGTTTTATTTAGTTTTGTAGCTTCTTTTAAATGTTTAAAACGAGGGCGACGGTTTAGCGGCGCTCATTTGATTTGTAAATGTCTATTAACAAAAGATTACAATAAGGCTTGGCGATGATGTCACCGGCAGGGTGATGAATGTCATGCGCATACTGAGCACGTCAGTAACCTTGCCCGTGCGCGAGGTAGGAAATGTGATGACATGTTATACCTATCACGACACGCCGATGTCGTCTTGCTGCATACCGATTAACCGTTTTGTTTATAACATAACTAAACTGATTTATATAAGATTTACGACGATACGACATCGACAGCTAATTCTCTGAGCTCGGTCGGGGGAAACACCTAGATTTGTTTACCAGGGGAAGCAAAGAGAGCCCTATACTATACCACAATGTTAAGTTTTGTGGTAAACTTTACTAAGAAACTCTTGCATATTTAGTCTATGGCAGAGAAACTTTAATTTATGTCTTGGTGTGTTTATCTATGGTAAAAATTCTAATTTAAGCATCGCTTTTTGCTGGTTCATCTAAATCTGATATTCGCCTGCTTTAAACGGTTACCTGTTACCGGTTTACATTAACATTTGTTTACTGATCGTGAATAAACTTAATTGTTGTACTGTTTTATATATCTAAATGTATACAAAAATTGCGTGTATTGCTCAAACACAATACTCTAAATTTTTGACAAAATATAAAGGTTTTTTTTGTGTTAACAATACGATAAACGTCTAAAAAATGGCCAATAGAGATTGCACTGGAACGTCTCAACGTGTTTAGGGCTATTATTTTTACATTCGTGTTGTTAAATGTACCTTGAAACGTTCTACTGGGAAGCATCAATGGAGCGCTTAACAATTGAGAGCAGGTAGAAAAATGGCGGGTTATGGTTACGCCCCGAACACAATGCACATTGAGCTGAGATAGCAAATACAAGTAACTACGTAATGCTTCAGTTTCATGCTGTATAAACATCCGTACAGATATCTAACGCCAAAATTCCTTGTATTTTAAAGACGATGGTTCTATTAAAGTAAACATCACTTGTGTTATAGTTCTTTAAAAAGTTGATCTTAATATGCTAATACCGAAAGTATAAAATGACGTTAAATCCATCTATTTGCTTCATTTTGAACATGATATTCTCACACTATAAAGTCAATCTAACATGAGATAAAATAAGTAGTGAAATTGAGCGCGTCGCTCCGAGACTGCGCGCGGCTATTCATAACTATTGTTACATAGATACGCCATAGAAAACATCTTTATAGTTTGTGAAAGTTTTTTGTATTAGAAACTTTCAGTCGTTGACATTAGCGTCCATTATCGAGTTGATTGACCTCGGCGTACAGACAGGCGTGCCCGAAAACTTGATCGCCTTCTCTGATTGTCTAAAAATGCATATTCGGTGTTTGAATATACATGAATCTTAGTTCTAGAAACGTTTCTTAGTCAATGTGTATCATTCGAAAAGATGTGTAATCGCGAGTGGAGATGATAAATTTTATTAGATTAGATATGAAATCATTAAAAATATTTGTACTGCGAATTGTGATAGAGGTTCGTTGCGGATCGTGCGCGAGGGCGATGACCGCAATATTGAGCGGGCGCGAATGTCTCACGTAGTGTTAATGACCTTTTTTTTGGCTGCGCTAGCGTCGCTCTGTAGTCACTTATCAAGTTCATTTTGCAATTTTAATTTATTATGTTCTTTGAATTTGTTTATAAATTCATAGAAAGTATAAATTGGAAGAATAATCGAAATACAATTTTTAATTTATATAAGTTATGTTTACTACCACTGATAGTGATTACCCAGTGTATTAATAACCAGCCTTTACTGTATTACTTAAATTATTAGAGATTTATAGTTTGAAATCATCAACTTTATTTACTAGATAGACATAACCTTGATGTAAACACAAAGTTCTATACAATAAATTATACGAACAATGGGTAGTCTTATCGCGGGAAGATATCTTTTCCAGGCAATAGTTTGTATGGACACGAACCATTATCATAAACAAAATGATGATGTACGTACAGTCAGACCTGTTCGCGGTATTCCACTCATATTAAAATTGCTTTATTCTTTATAACGAGACAAACTTCGGTCCTTCTTACAAATAACATAGCAGTGAGTTGCGCTAACTACAGGAGTGAAAAGAAATAAGTCCTGTCCCATTAACATTTTTTCGTGCATACACATTTAAAAACTGCGTTCTATTGGTTATTGTTTCCGCATTGTTGTCTCAATGCATGCTTTAAAGTGAAATACCTCCAGATTCTCTGATAGTACGTCTAATATGTTATACTATTTATATATAAATTATTATATTCTCTTTTCATAAAGTAAATATATGGTTACTTGCTTGGCCGTTTTGATAAAAAGTGACTTTTTATCTTTGGCGTCGTATTAGTGTTATACAAAAAGAAAAGTTCTACTTGTGTTCATGTTTTAAAAGTTCATATAATCAAATGTAATACGAATTGTTCATATTAATATTCTTATAAATTGTATAACAGAGCGTACATTTGTTTACACGTGAGATCAGAAAAAAATAGTGTATCACTGAACAGTTTTACGAGGGCAAATAGTAACATGTCGGATGTTGATACACAAGGATATCTAGGTATTATATAAATGTGATCGAACCTGTGAATGGAGAGGCTGTGAGCTGCGGGTTGCGGGGAACGTAAACAAACAAGGCGGAGGGCGCGGCGGAGCGCTGCCCCCGGCCCGTGACTTGAGCCCAGTTGCCGTAATCGATTACGTACACAACCCGATCTCGTTGCGTATTACATTTTTTTTTGTTTATTTTAGTTCTCTGTATCATAGCTTTACTACATTTTATCGATAGTTGTAATAACTTTGTATTATTTTTAATTTAAATGTATCCACTACATTCGGATAATCCGAGATGAGAATGATAATCTATGGGCAGATATGGCTTATGATCTTTAGTTTTAAAGCCTTATTCTTATATAATGTTCGTTTCCGATTCATAAAGATATTTGTAACAGAAACGAACCTTTAAATTGCAAATAAATGTTGCGTTTTTACTGTAGGTAGGCTTATAATTACCAGATTGTCTATGTAAATTTATAATAGAGTAATGTTAATAAAAAATATTAAACACAATACAATAGCATATACGAATTGAGTGAAAAAATCATAAATCAACCATGTTTGGATACAAACATCTCGATCCATAGATAATAATCTGTTCAGTGAATAGCACAATCGTGCATTGCATTGACCTACTTTATTCGTGACCTTCGCGCGCGAAAATACCTATGTCCTCATTGCGGGAAAATTTATTTTTGAACCAATAAAATCTTTACTAGGTTAACCATTTGTTACACTTTGCTTGATATCCGGGTTTATTTCTAAAGAATGTTTCCATTTTAACTCATAATAAAAATACCAACTAAAGACTGTTGTAATGAAGGAACCTTTCAAGCATTTCAACAAAGATTCAGCAGACTATCGTAATTTTTTTTAGCTCATCTATTAACTCGTACTGCATTTTATAAAAATACTGCACTGTCCGTCTTGTATGTGCGTCGTATTCTCTTGCACCAGCCTATAAAACAATTGCTAAATATAACAAACAATATTCTTTTGTATGAATTAAGGTCTGGCAGTTGGATTTTAGTATTCTTCCGTGTATTTCTGAAGCCTACTTTAAAACGAGCTATTCCTATCGCTTTACGTGATTTAGTGATTCCTGCTTCGGCGTGGGCCAACGCAATAATTTGTTCACATCTATACCTCCACATGCGTTATTTGTGGGATTTATTCTGTTCGCTCAGCGTGTGGTGCACTTCGAAACTCATCTCGATCTGTATAGTTTGTATAGTTGCTCTGGTTTCAACGTATATTTGAACTTTTATCCGTTAAAATAATCTTTGTTATTATTATATAACAGAATTAGCTCAGTAGATATCCGTAAAATCTATTTTGAAAGGCAAGTTGACCGGGACTTTAACATTCAGCCATTTTTCTTTAAAATGCTTTTGTAACCATACAACTATAATCGCTTGTTTTGGTCATCACTTCTGCACCATCTTTGTCTCCTCTGCTTTTAAATATAAGCTTGATAAACTGATAAGTGATTGTCATATTTAACTACGTTGTGTACAATGAGCGCTTTCAAATTCCTACCTTGAATTTAATGCGTTAAATTCCTCAATAGTAATAGATACATTCGGCTTTTGGATAAGCCGAGCTTTGAACACGCTACATAAGAATAGAATATAGTATTACGTGGAGCGGACTTGCTCGTCGAACGAAGGTCGCCATTTGATTTCTCCGTAACCGTGCAGTCAGTTACGTAGCAACATGTTAGTCATGCCGTAAAACTACACTTTCCATTTGAATATGCTTTATTTGCGTTATTTGTAATACATAACTGTAACAGTTGTCGCCACCTCATCCGAAGCTAACTATGTCGTATTTACTTATCTGATTTTTTTCGATAGGGTAGATAACCCAGTTTTTGTTGTCTTCCTGTTTTCATGTCGTGTTGTTAAACGGCTACTTTGCATCTGGATTTAATTAATTTTAATGCGACACCCACCCGCCCTCGTAACGTGGGTAGAATTTATATACCAACACTTAGATAAACACATTTATTTAGGCATATTGTTGATCAAAGAAGTAATATACTTATGAAGTCTTTTAATTTATGATCTTATGAATCTTTAAATTTTATAGAAAAAATATATGATGAAGGACAGAATTTACAAAACAGCATTTTAATTTACTCTTTTTTCTTTGTTGGTTTAAAAAAACGTTCCAGTCTTCCGTATTATAGCCGGTTTTTTTTTGTAATAATAACATGTTTACACACTCGTATGACGATAAATAACTGTAAGGAATTCCCTTGTTAAATGTTCTTGCCGTGACTCAAAACTTACTTCGAGGTAGTAAACCTTTGGGTAAGTTACCCGGACACAATAATTAACGGAAACTCAAATAAAGTACTTATGTATAATTTATTTCAGTAGTAGAAGTACAAATGTTATAAGAAAAAATCTTGAACATACGAATCTTGTTAAAGCGTGCTTTGTAGCAATAAACGCGTTGATATCGATTACAACCACCTATAATTAGTAAAATAAACATAAATAATTGGATCCAAGGTAAACAACATTGTCTCTATATTATGTTTGAATGGTTTATCGATCGGTCATTTCGCCATGCCGGCAATGTCAAGGCTACGAAAGAATATTATTACGTACTCCGCTCGCTCGTATTACGTTTGCCAACCTTAAAAGTTCACTCTTAATGGGCCAACTTTGATAAATTAGTTTCTTTCATTTCATCTCGTATTTCCGTTTAATTATACAGTTATTTTTAGATCATTGAGAAATCGTGATTTCGTAATAACTTTTTTATTTCCTATTTTAGAAGTTGAAGTTTAATTAAAGGATTAATTTAACAGGAAACTTACTTACGCCTGTGACCCCATTAATATTGTTTTTTATCTTTTCAGGAAAAGGGCACATCACTGCCAGCACAACGGCTAAACAAATACCCTTCGCGCGGCTTGTTGAAGCACATTCTACAACAAACGTACAACCAAGCGGTGTCCGATCCAGATAAGCTGAATCAGTATGAGCCTTTTTCGCCAGAGGTTTGTAAAAAACATTAACTCGAGTTGAAGCTTCGATTTTAAAACATTCACTTCAAATACCATCGTTAAATTTTCAGGTGTATGGTGAGACATCGTACGAGTTGGTGTGTCAGATGATCGATCAAATAGATATAACAGCGGAGGATGTGTTCGTGGACTTGGGCTCGGGGGTCGGGCAGGTCGTTCTGCAGATGGCAGCGGCAACACCTTGCCGGGTGTGCTTGGGCGTCGAGAAAGCCGAAGTACCGAGCAAATATGCAGAGGTACTACTTATTTTAACTAAGTTTATTACCCCTTTTTTTTCTTTTTTGTAGGCATTCATTTACTTTCATCCTTTATTTCAGAGTATGGATTTGCATTTTAGGATGTGGATGAGGTGGTACGGCAAGAAGTATGGAGAGTACAAGTTGATAAAGGGTGACTTTCTGTTGGATGAACATAGAGAGAAGATAAACGCGGCGACTATCGTGTTTGTGAACAACTTCGCTTTCGGGCCGCACGTAGACCACCAGCTGAAGGAGAGGTTCGCGGACTTAAAGGACGGCGCCAAGATCGTCTCATCGAAAAGCTTCTGTCCGCTCAACTTCAGGATAACCGACAGAAATCTGAGCGACATCGGGACCATTATGCACGTCAGTGAAATGTCACCGCTCAAGGGTTCCGTCTCCTGGACGGGAAAACCAGTATCTTACTATTTACACATAATAGATAGGACCAAATTGGAGAGATACTTTCAAAGACTGAAAAACCCGAAACTCAAGGTCAGCAAAAGGGTCTGTTTCCAATCAATTTATATTTTTTATTAATATTGCTAAAGGTTGAAAGACATTGTTATAACTTATCGTAATACTATTAAATTGTTCATCCTATTTGGTTTCTTAAATTTGTATCTTTTAAATTAGAAACATTCAAAATAAGTTATGACGTGTCTTTTAATAGTTTTATGCTTAAATAAAATAATGTACATATTTAGAGTAAAATGTTTTATATAAATAATACAATATATATTTTGAAGTATAATATTGTAATTATAACAGTCAAAATAAATAACTTAAGTGGATAATCATTTTTTTGGAGATAATAAAATAGTCGAAAATAAATGAGAAAAGGACCCTTGTATTAATAACGCAATTATAATACATATATGTTTCTAGGGATGTCAGAATGGCACGGAGGACAACGAGGGCGGAAAGCGGCACCTGAGCGCACCGCCGACGCGCCAGCCCACGCCCGACCTGCTCAACGGCAACAGCAACCACAGCACTGGTTCACTGCCAGAGCGCCGTAGGAAGGTGGCCCGACCCAGACCCGCCGTCAGGTAACCACATCGCTTCATACAAACGACACACAAACACATACTTCTTGATATTAGCGTCTAAACAGACATAAAAGGCATGCTAAATAGTAGTTATTACGTTATAAATATGTACAAATTGAAGTATTTGTATATTTAGGGGTGAGAACGGTAGGACGCGAGCGCGGGCGGCGGTGGCGAAGCGGCGCGCGGCGCGACGCTCCAGCGATGAGAGCGATGAGGAGTCAAGCGGCACGGATGACGCGCCACCCGGACCGGAGCCCGCGCCGCGCGAATGGGGCGCACCTTGGGCCTCCGCCGACACCAGTCAGTATATACAATATATTTGACGTTAAGCAAGCCATAAATCAGCTAGTAATGGCGGTTTTCATTTAAATTTAATAGAAATAAAAAAATCTTGTTTCTTTATGTAATGTCATTTTATGCGCTGACGAAGTCTTGGTCGAACTCTAGTATTACAATAGTTATAAATTTACAGTAAAATATAAAACAGTTGCATTGATAGTGACAATGTTGTGTTTGTGTTGCAGACCGCAGCCGTCGCACAGGCAGCAAGCGCAGCGCGAGCGCGGGCGGGGCGAGGCGACGCGCGGCGAGAGCCAAGCGACGCCGCGCCGCCCCCGCCGCCATTGCTGGCCTCGACCTGCTGCACTCCACCACGCTCGCCTCCACACTGCACAACGGCACGGTCAGTCACACACACATACATACACGCACACACGTCATCACACAACTACACACACGCACACACTTGCAACAATTCGTCACACACAGTGCCTTTGTTTCAACCAAACCGTTTCCATTACACATTACAATATGTACCGTATTATTCGTGCACAATTTTTTACTTATTAAATAATGCCACAACGGAAGTTATTTCAAACACTAGGTTGTGTATTTAGCGTCAAACGAGTTTACCTTATATTTAAATTATGATTATTCAGACAACAGGTATAATAATTTTGAGATGTGTGAGAACATTTTCTAACCGTGGGTTTCTGAGAACAAAATCCATTTCAATGATATTGTTATTTCTGTTCAAGATGACAGTGATGACGATATATTTTATACAAAGATTTTGATATCAGAAACTAACAGTTGGTGTGTAAAATGATTTTATTTAGAAATATCAAAATATCCTTTCTTGAAGTATAAATGCTCACAAAGTTTTTATTTATCGACAGCATTACATATTAGTTCGAAAGGAAGTTTTCAAAAATTTGTGCGAGCAGCATCTGACGGGTTACATGTAATTAATCCATTGACTTTACTTGATAAAGTGAGTTGATGATTCAAAGGTGCTCAGGAGGTTGGAGGTCGGTGATCTTCACAGAGGAACGTCCGAGGGTTTGACATATCTCTTCCTTCGTTGTTTATGGCAATGTCCGGTAAAGCGATAAGCATGTAGAAAATAGCACGAACAATTCGCAGGCGCAGACTAACATCGAGGAAATACTAATACCTACCTATTTTTTTTCTTTTAGTATATATTTTATATGTATTAAATTAGGTAATGTTGCATGAGAAAGCCTGATCAGCGATTCTTTAAAGCCAGGAGTAAAGGGCACTCACATTAAGTCTTCATAGCGCTTTAAGCTGTTAGATAAATTTGTTTATAATAAATACTTTTTGGATGATCGCTGTTTCCTTTGATTCTTGCAATGCAAATTATTTCCCAATAAAATTAGATACAGTCTTTTATTTAGCTTTTGCTTCACCAGCGATCTACAGTTAAATTATGTTGCCGCGCTTTATCTTTTAAGTGTATTTTAATATATTTTATTTTTAATATCACAGTTATATTTTTGGTTGTTATATATATCTTTGTAGAAATATCCTTAGTATTTTTATGTTATACATGTCTTTGAAAATGAGTAGTTTCCAAATATTGTAATCGTCGTATATTAGTTATAGTTTGATGTACATAGAGATAATATATATTGAAATTAAATACACAAAAGCGGTTATCTACAACAAACACCAAGAAATTAAAGAAGACAAACAAAGAAATGATGAAAAAAGAGATGAGACATATAAACATTTCATAGCGATCAAAAGTGAGATGCTAAATTAGCAAAAAAGAGAAGAGATTTTATTCCCTATATGTGTTACTTATAAATATATTTATGCTTAAAATACAAACATGGTTAAAATCGACATCTTTTTTAATTCTTAATTTCTAATTCCATCTCGGGTATAGTTCATCAGATATAAAGTCAAGTTTGTGTAAGCAAGCACATAATAACAAATATTCGTTTTGCGTACGTGGGTGCGCAGGTGACAGCGCCGCCGCCGGGCTGCGTGGGACAGCGGCTGTCCGCGCTGGGCGTGCAGCTGCAGCCGGCGGAGCGCCTGCACTCGGAGCTGGACATCCCGCGCTCGCCGCACACGCCCTACAGCCTGCAGCTGCTGCTCGACATGTTCCGCGACCAGTACCTCGCCTTCATACAGCGCCTCAACACGCCCGAGTACGCGCAGGATGTACGCAATCAGATCGACAAGGAAAAGGTATCTATACTTTATATCAGTTATTTCAGTTTTTATGTATACTTTGCAGTTGCTAGATTATGATTACTAATTTTAGATTATAATCTTATCTTCTGAGTTTTGTGGCCAGCATTAAATCGAAGTGGAGTTGGATATGATCGTACTTGATCAATTTCTCATAGCGCGTACTATTCCATCGTAGTCATAGAACGAAATTACTGCTTATAAAAATTAATTATATTACATGTAGGTAGTGTGATTTCAAAATATTATTATTAATAATTTAAGTTCTAGTTCAGTTGGAAAGCTATGTATTTTTAGACATTATTAGTTAGAATCCTTTGGCGCGAATGGCGCTCGTTACCAAGTCGAGTGTCAGATTGATTAGTGAGGGGACATAAGCGTTGACATTTTAATAAGACTAGCGTTGCGCCAGTACACCGGCACAGTGTCGGATTTTCTACCTAATAATATGTAGTATAGTTTTATTATATTTGAAATCAACGTAATTGGGTTTTTATAATTTTAATGCTTTGTTCAACCGTGATAAAATCCTAAACTTATGTAGTGTGTACCGCTTCTTATTAAAAAGTGTCATTAGGACACAAAAAATATAATAATTATTTTGGCGTTAATTTGTACCTAAAAGACATTCATATTTATATGTATTAATATTTTTGTCATATTTAACCATTGAGATATTTATGTGAAGCTGATTAATACATAAGTTGTAAAGAAATGAAGAATTAATATTTATCAAAAACAGCATGTATTACATAATTGTAAATCGGTGTAAGAAAATATTCTACGGTGTTGTCCTTATTGTAAATTTATTTTACATTTATATATGTTTTGTCCAGCAAGTCTTAGTTTCCCTGTCCTTTTTAACTTTTGGGTTTCATATAAATTCTGTTTACGTTTATTTGAAAATGATGACTTATCCAATACACATTATAATTCAGAAACAAAATGAAAGGACTACTCACTATATATGCTGAACGTCTGTGACGTATTCCGATATTGCTATAACCAGGAACACGTTTGTCCAATGGAACGGCCCGGGTCACGCCGCTACTGCCGCGTGTACTGAGAGGTAACGAGTGCTCTGAAAGGTCAACACAATCCTTAAAACACTCTTCTTGTATTGACAGGAAAGGAATCAGAAATTGAAGTCGCGCGCGAGTCAATTGGACAAACAGATCAACGTTTTGATCAGCGATAGTGTGGCCTTGTTGAAAGCACGCATGAGTGAACTGGGCATACACGCCAACAACACCGTCGATCTCTTAGCGAAGGCAAAGGAGATCGTCGGCAGGCACAAGGAGCTGCAGAGCAAAGCGAGCAAGCTACAAGCGCAGGTATCATAATTGCACTATCTAAATATATCTCTCTACCATGTCTTACCTTCACCGAATCCTCGTCAATTCATTATCACTTTTTTTTAGGTTACCAATATCGAAGCCGAACAAGCTATTCTTGTAAAGCAGCGAACATTAGAAATAACCGACAAATATCGCCAAATGGGTCACATACCGCCAGACGCGGAGATCAATCAGAGCATTGCGCACGATTGCATCCTAAAAGAAATTTCCGCGACGCTCGCTCAACGGAAGAGATTACACGCTCAAGTGGGTCATCTACAAAACGAAATCGTTCAGATGGAGCGAGCGAGTGAACAGAAAGCGGCCGCGCCGTCCGTCCCCGTGGCGACGGTGAAACCGCACACCGTTAACTCGAAGCCCCGGAAGCTAAGAGAGCAGCGGTCGAGGTCGCAGGAGTGGCCCGAAGTGCAAGATTTCGGAAAGACCGAGGAACAAAACCCGGATGTACTCACCCAGAAAACTATAGACACCGGTCGGCAGGTCGAGGGTGGCAAGATCGTGAAGCCGAACGTCATAGTAAACGGATATTCCCGGGAGCCGGAGCGGCACGTGCGCGACGAGCAGCACCGGCAAGTGAAAGCGGCGCCCGTCCATCGCACGCAGCCGCAGCCGCCGCGCGCCGCGCAGGTGCCGCCGCCCGCGCACCGACACTCGCCCCTCAAGCCGCAGAAGCCGCTCAACGTCGTCACCAAGGTGCAGGAGTCGCCCAAGGTTATCAACTTCGAGGACCGCCTCAAAAGCATTATCACGTCGGTTCTAAATGAGGACCAGGAGCAGAGAAAGGCGTCGCGCCAGCCGACGCCGGCCCACCCGTACTCGAACGGCTACGTGCGACCGCCAAATGCGCAGCACGGGTTCCCACCACGCGCGGTGGCCGCACCATCACCATCAAGCGGGTACGGCCGCGTCGCCCGGGACCTGCGCCGCGAGCGGTACGCGTACGAGAGGCGCCCGGAGCCCCGCACGCCGCACCCCGCGCATCCCGCACACACCCCGCACAACCCGCATACCGCGCTCGAGCACCGGCACCACCATATCGCTCAACCGGATTACACGCAGGTGAGTTTCCTACATACATTTTCCTATACTATAAACACAAAAAATATATGAGAGTGGTTTGAACCAAATGAGTGAGAGATGACCGGCACAGTGATTGCAAATCAATAATAAGTACTCGAGTGCTTGAAAAGATTCAAACGAGTTAGAAAATGGCTAATAATAATTTAATGTATATACGTAAATGTTGATGTCTGCGTGTCAGGTGTCCCCGGCGAAGCTGGCGCTGCGGCGGCACTTGTCGCAGGAGCGGCTGAGTGCGCCCGGAGCGCGCACCATCGGTGACCTCGTCAACGGTGAGATAGAGCGCACGCTCGAGATCAGCAACCAGAGCATCATCAATGCGGCCGTCAACATGAGCGCGCGCTACCACGAGCCCGCCGCACAGCACCAGCCGCTTGAGGGTACGTCACCACACTCGCCATACATAAACATATAATATTGTACTTAATACGTAAAATACGATGTAAACTTAATTTCATACATGTAATCTAAAGTGTTTCAAGGTGGTCGAAAGTAAAATGATTTTATTCTGAAAATGTTTTGGAGTGCTGAAATGCATTACAGAATTTAAAACGTGGTATCCATGTGCAGGTCTAGCGGCGTGCCTGCAGGCGCGAGTGCTGGCCTCAGAGTACTGGCGCGGGCGGGGCGGCGGGGCAGGAGGCGGGGGCGGGGGCGGAGAGGCGGAGGAGGGCCGCCGGCGCACGCCGCCCCCCGACACGCACTCCAACTCCTCAACGCCGCTCGCAGACGACCTGCCCGAGCCGCGCCCACCAGGTCAGACCACACACATACACTAACATCACACATTTAATATTCCGCGACAATCAACTTTAAATTGCATATTTTATTTAATTGAATTAAATATCAACTTAAAAAATCTACAAAAGTATAACTCGTAATACACCAGTACATATGCCAATTAAAACGAATAAACGAGTAACGTGTTAAATAAAAATTATTATATTAAATCTACATACAAGTCCTATAAGCCCACCTAGAATGGACATTGCTGCTCAGTAATATTTAGTATGGGTCTACAAGAAATCCACTTCTATCATAATCAAAGTATTCGAGACTTAATTGACTATTTGAAATTCTTTGAGAAAAAACAAATTTGTTTCAGATCAGTGCATTTTGTAATTTTAATTGCTCGTGACAACCTATGCGCACGGGAGCGCGAGACGCTTTAGGTAAATAAGAAAAAAGCCTTATCATTGTAACGATACTGCGGCTGCGCGAGCTTCTCACATTCTGATTCATCATAATCGATCGATCGCTGGGCGTGTCCATTCTACGTGTAACATGGGGTGTCGGTCGGCCGCTCCGCACAAAGTGACACGAGGTTTGTTTCAGAAGGCGAGGGCGGCGGAGAGGAGGTGGAGGAGAGCAAGTGGCAGGACCGCATCGCCTTCCGCTTCGACCAGATCATATCCTTCGCCTCCACCGCCATGGAGGACAAGCGGCGGCGCTCCGACGAGGCGTGCAACACCTCGCCCGACTCCGGCATCGGGCACGGCGAGCCCGGCCGCGCACCGCCGCCCGCCGCCGGCACCGCCCCGCCCGGCCCCGCGAGCGGGCCTACGGGTGGTGCGACGCCCGCGGCGACTGTCACGCCGACGCCGACGGCGGGCGGGGGCGGTGGCGGGGGCGAGGCACGTACGCCCTCCCCGCTCGCGGCGCACCACTTCAAAAAGCGGTTTTTCCGGCGGGAGCGGTGGGGCGCGTGGGGCGGGCCGCCGCCGCCCGCCGCCGTGGACTGGGAGCGACCGGCGATGTGACGGCCGCGCATGTAGCGCCGCCGCGTGCGTCGCTTCCCGCGCATCTCGCCGCTCGCCATTAGCGTAATTTACTATCGAAACACTGCCCTTACGAGATGACGTACGGATGAACTTTTTGTATATACAACACGGCGACACTGCGCCTCGATGTCCTCTCGTGCGTTGATCGTCTATTATATTTGTTATTTTTTTTTCGAATATATTGTAATGTAATTATGTATATTGATGAGTTTATACTATGTTTAAGAGTTGTAATTATTTAAAATTAGGTTTACGCGACCGCTCTATTCGGGTGGCAGTAGAGTGTGTCGCGCGGCGACGGGATTGTATTTCATGTGTTCATTTAGGTTAGAGTTTGAAATACATGATAGGAAGGAGCGGTCCGCGTGCATGTGCATGTGCACGTGCTCGTGCTCGTGCTCGTGCTCGTGCCGGGACATGATGAATGTTTGTTGTTTTATGTGTTTTGTTTTATGATGTTACGTAAGCTCAGCCTGAATAATGTCAATCATTTCTTTCGGATGTCTTTCGTCGAGAGGGCAAATATGTCAACGATGAATTTGTACATAATAATATTTTGTAAAACGATTAAGAGTGATCATTGTATAGTTCTATTGGGTAAATATGTAATGTACGGTAAAGGATAATTATGTAATTTATAAATAGATCCGCGGCCGGATGCCTTATGATACATTAACTCATTACAGGTAAAAAATATTATGAAAAACACTTCCACAAAATCAAGTACGTGATAGGGATATAGCAGAAAAAAGCAATAAAATTTTTAAATTTTTTAAGTACCGATATCTAAATGTGAGTCACATTACACGTATATTTAAGTAATAGTCACTTTTTTACATTCTTTTTTATTTCCAAAGCATTCATTAATTAACAGACAAATTGACAATTGACAACATTAGTTTTGGTGATGTTCGCAAACACGCAATCGATTAGCGGTCGTCGGCGACGAGACGCGTTGAGTGCATGTGCCAAATTCAATTATTCGCTACATATATAGTGTCATTGTTATATTTTGATGATAAACAGGACATTGGCACTTACATGTACGTAAGCAACGATAGCACAAATAGCAGCAATAGAACATTGTCTTAAATAACTAGTTATGTAATTGTTCAATATACCAAATTCAATGGTGCTTCATATACTTATGGTTATAATAGTAAGCAAACCAGATGTAGTGAAAAGCTAGATACAGTTAGAGGAAATTCTTTAATATGAAAGTTGTGTGTCTCCCTCGCTTCGATGTGGTCCGAACGCGTGTCCGTCTTAACAATGTCTAGAACATACCAAAGGGAATGTCTAATATAAAACTATGGTTTTAACAAACAATGCAATAAAATATCTAAAGTATAAAAATAAGTTTACAAATCCGGTGCCTTAGCGCTACTCGTTTCTAGTTTTAACAATAGTTAGTCCTAGTTGTGAGATCATGTGACAGTTTTGGAATACAAATGAATAAGTCCGCGTATATTGAAATTATGCGAAACCATGATCTAACAAGCGGGAGTAAAGTGACGCATTGAAAAAGTTTTACTTTGCCACGGGTTCAAAGGAATTTTACCTTTTAAAAAAAAATACTTATCAAATTATGATACTTTGGTATTGCATGATATTTTGGCCGTGGTATGTTTTTTGATATATGAATATTTGTCCGTTACTCCCCTTGTTGGACATGAGATGCGACCTAGTATAAGTCAGTGGCTTCTTTTTATCTGAGTTTTAGAACTGCTAGATTTTTGGTGTTGATTTTATTTGAGGTCTTCTTAATATAATGAAATGTTACGATTAAATTTTTTGAACCGTTTATATGAGAGATAGGTATTTAGTTGGAAGTGGGGGTAAACCAAAGATCGGGTGGACGATATTGTCAAAAATATAATAAAATATATAGCTTCTATAAATGGAATTCATACATTGTACAATTAAAGATGCAATCGTTTAAATTTTGCCTCTAGTTATGAGCTGGTAACTAAACAACCTGTACATCTGACACGTTTTGTTCATTTTTAAAAGCTATGAATTTTCGCACTGAATAATATTTTTACAAAAATTCAGGAACTACTAAAATGAATGTAAAAAAACAATTGATGTTCGAGAATAAATTTAGTAAATATTTTCGCTCACGAAGATTATCCGCCTTCTTAGAAATAAGGCTTACCGCGAGTAAGGATACATTTTTAAAAATTAATTTCTTAGGTATTTTGTTCCTTTTATACTCTTAACTGATAATATTTAGCACCAATTAACCTCAATACTAATTTATTTTTTCATTTGTACTTAGCATTTTTAGCCTAATTGTAAATCAAAATTATGAATGAATTTTTTCTCTTCGGAAATAGAGGCTCGGGTCGTTAATTAAATCAAAAGGTCAAATGGTGTATTGTCAGTGGTAAAATAATAAATAATATAATTTTTTTACTCTGAGATAAAAACAATTGCTGAGTCATATCACTAAGATTTCTTTAATTCGATTGTAATGTACGAAGTTTGCAATATTTTTTATCAATTTTAATATGGTATGGGCATTTCGCGTGTTTTATGGAAGTCAAAACTGTTGGTATTTTTTTTATTGTTGCCAAAAGATAAGTGAATTGAGTTGAAAAGTGATTTTTTTTGTGTAACATAATGCATATCTGTTCGAATCGAACATTCACTCTACATTAACTCAAATCATCTTTGCTTGCTGGCAACAAAAGTTGTTATACCATAAACGTCATATTTTATTTTTTATTTCATGAACGAAAGGTTACGGTATGAAGGCACATTGGAAAATGCCCATACCGCTGTATTCTAATATAGATAAGATTTGAGCATGAAATTTTGATAAGAATATGTAATAGTGTAATGATTAACATGAACAATGTTAAATTATTTGATACAAATGAAGTAATTGCGTTTAATGAATGAAATTAAAAGGAAATGTTTGTAAGATATAAACGGCTATACTGGTATACATATATATCCCAAAATATTTAACAACAATTAAATATTTTTTTTGTTATTATTGTATGCCGTTTATACATTACGAGCATTGGTGTGCGTTGGATTGCGATTGTGCCTGAAAAAACTCATCAATGCCGCTCCAAACCTCAAAATTATGTATTCGTATATAAGTAAGCTTAAATTGGAATGTACCAGTAGTAAGGTAGGATGTATATTGGCATAAAAATTAATCACGACCACAGATCGACTCGAAGAGTGATTACATTATTCAGTTTTGACTAATTTTACTTTTTAATGGGGGAAAATGAGCTAATCAGTGTGACTTTAGTGTCTAAAATAGTACAAATGAGAAGACTTATTGTCGTAAGCCTCTGACTATTCAACATTGCAAATGCTAGGTTTGAGATGTATCCCTGTGTACTAGTTTTATTTTGTACTAAAAGTTAAAAATAAATGATTAATTATATCATTCTGTTTTAATACAAAAACTTAAAATGTGTCCTATAAGAGAAAAGCTATAAGACAGAACCAGTCACCGAATAAGACTAAAACTGGCCAATATCCACGACTGACTGCTATTTCAATAAACAATGTATACCCGCTGCACAATTCTCTGGCTTGCCGCGATTAGTGCCATTAAATGGCAGTTTATTGAGGCCTGTTTCACAAATATTTACCTAGTCGCTAGCTATTAGCCTAGTTGAAAATTATACCCTTTGAAAGAAAAGAACTTAGACCTACAAAAAACAGCTTTACTAACTTACCTTGCAAGAGGAATCGAATCAAACATCGCGATGTTCCTCAAGGTGATGTCGCCATATATGAGTAGATAAAATATTGATACAGAATGAAACTTTGCTAAATTGATGAAAATAAAACGTTGATCGGGTTCATATAAGATTTACATTGGCCTGGTTAGTTTCTATTTATATTTGAAAAAAGGAATTTATGATGAACTTGCTGAGGTTTACTCTTTGTCATTTTAAAATTTGCTCGCCACTGTCACTGTCATTGTCAAATATGATGTATGGTGGAATGTCATTGTGTCATGGAGTATTTATGAGCTGTGAGCTGTTTATTAGAATTAATCAAGGCTTACTGTGATATTTATATCTAAAAACACTAATGGGATGATTGTTAACACTATTAACGGTCCTACAAGAAGGTGGCATTGAGTTCTTTAAAGTAAGAGGAAATTATGCCTCCTATTTATAAACATTGAACATCCAAACAACTTCTTTGTGCAACGTTTGCTGTTAATTAATGTATTTGAAAAATGTGTGGTTAATACTGTACTGAGATACGTGTATTTTAATTGTATTTTGCTCTCAGTAACTTTGTTCCACACAAATGAAATGCAATATACGCGAACTCGCTCTCTTGAGCGACAAACCTTGTGTGATGGAAGGAAGACTCAATTACAAAAAAATTACAAACGGAGGATACAGGAATCAAGCAGCAGGTAAAAACAACTTAAATATAATATAACTTCGCCATTAGTCTGGCTCATAACTTTTTGTATAATTTTCAGTCATTTTACATACAATTACCTACAGGAAAAGTCAAAAATAGCAGCAAGATAAAACTTACACGCAATTAGAGCGAAACGAAAATGTTTGCAAAACAATAATTATTCTTAATTTATATGCAAGTTATTAAAGAAAAAAAGAGTTTCAATATAATATGGAATAAGTTATAAACAATATTGCTCTGTTTATAAGCTATATTTCATCTTTGTATAGAAGTATTTAAAGTATGACTGAACATTGTATAAATAAGTAATGTAATATATTGAAGTTACACATATGAAATTTTATTTATACTATATTTGTTGTATTTCAGTCTTCAAAGAGAGGTGGTTTAGACTCATAAACAATTATTTATTTTACTTCAAAATAAGTGAAATGGGTAAATTTGATACTAAGGTGCCAGCTGGTGTTTTCGTTATGGAAAATTCATCAATACAAATGGAACATGGACAGAACATATCATTTTCATTTTCTATATCCTTTATGTAAGTTAATAAAATATTTACATTCAAGATTTAGTTAAGGATTCCTCTAGAGATCAGTGGATTAGAATAGTGTTATTGAATATAAAATATTATAATTTTAGAGATGAACCAGAAAAGCGGCATTTATTTGCAGCTCGATCTGAAGATAATGTAGTCCAATGGGTAATGAAACTGCGCGAATGTTCGTATGAATATCTTCGTAACCGTTTGCACACACTACAGTCAAAAATCTATTCTATTACGGGAAAGGTATTTATGACTTTAACCTATATAAATATTAAAAGAGAAAAGTTTTGTTTGCATTGGATAGACTGTTAAAAAGCTACACTGTCCCCAGGTATTATAGGCCATATTTATTATTAGATTTTTTAATTACGCTCACACAAAGTTAAAAGCAACCGCTTGTCCTTAATAAAGGTATAATACTTGAGGCACAACAACTAATTATGTTCTACTATGCCATCAATGCTTTTATATTAACTATGTTTGAAATGTTTGTGTACCAAAGCAGCATAAAACAATTAAGTTAAATTGTGTTTTCTTCTTCATTATCCTATTATATTTCATGTCTAATATTGCTGTAACACATGATAAGATTTTAATTGTTGTTTTCATTTAAGGATCCCCTGTTACTTGTACCAAGAAATGATGGCGCCTGTCTGTGGGCTCCCTCAGTGCCTTTCTCCACTGCTCCAGCTTGTACAAACAATACAAGTTCTTTTAGTTGCCACCTCCATACTAATGGTGCTTTTACACTTGAAAGAAGTAAGTCTGATGTGGAGGCATACAAACACATACAAGCGGAATATACTAAGAGAACAATTTTCTATACTAATGATAATAAAGATGAAAGTAATAAAAAAGAGAACAATGAAAGTCAAGGTTTTGCTTTAGAAAAAAGTAAAACTTCCGCTTTGTTTGCTTCAAGCAATCCTATCGATCTTTCAATATTTGACAACCGACCTGCTTACTCGAGGGCGGCGCCTAGTCCGCCCCTTAGAACGAAACTATCTCCGTCAACGCGGCGCGCTGAACTCAATCAAGAAGTGCGGGTATTTAGAGAAAAAGGTATGTATTTGGGAGTTACTGGCATTTTAGATGAGGTCCCCGTACCACCAAGAAGAAAAGTTTCGCCTAAACCAGAAAAACAAATAGACAATCTAGTAAGTAATACCAGTCAAGAAAATTTAGCTGATGATGGGGCAGAAGATCTTATTCAATTTTAATTTTTTTATTTTAATTATTTATTATTCCCACCTATTAATTTTATATCCTTGCCCGTAGTATCAAACAAAACATTGTCTAACTTTAGTTATTTTTATCATGACATCATTGCATTTAGTTAAGGAGATTACGTGATATAATATTGATGTATATCATAATTAGATAGGTAATAACATATTTACCTCCATTTACATCATGTATAGTGAAATTCAATAAAAATGAGAAATTAAAATTACACATTTAACTGGCTGACAATGTCATTTATAGTCTTTGGATTTGTTTTGTATCTATACCTACTTGTCTGATTTTAGTTAATCTGTGATCACAGATTATATTCATTGTTTAAATAGATCTGTAAGTACACATTTTTATTGAATTAGACTGTACACTAATGACTTTCCAATTAAAAATATATTTAACCTTTCGAGCGATCAAATTTAATTTTTATAGTGTTTTGTTTCATTTAACTCATACTTGTTCATACTAATTTGTCTCTGTGATGAAGAACAATAATGAACTAGTCAATAATTTTTGTGTACAAGTATATACACATTAGTAAATATTATAATATATGTAAATGTCGGTTAAATTTCCTTGTTCCTTGAGTCAGGGCCGCGCCGCGTTTTGTGTCAGTATCCTGTTGAATTGATTACAGAACATACAATGTAGTTATATTGGTTTCAATTGTTGCGTTATTCTGGCACATATTATGTATTGTTTTATAAACAACGAATAATGTTATATATTTTTCGAATCGTATTTCTCTGAATAATTTACAATATATAGTTGAAAAATTATGAAATAAAACTCATACTTGTAATATTAAATGTGCCTTCGATTTAATAAAAAGTAGTAACATTTTGATATAATAATAATTTTTAATTAACTCAGACTATAATGTAGCAATGGATGACGTCCACTTAAACTTATATTTTACTGTTCTAATAGTGGGTTTCTGAAACCAAAATTCTCGTTTAAAACATATTGTAATTTTTGTTTTGTCAAATATAATGACAGGGGTAATATGTCACAGAGATTTAGGTCTCAGAAACCAACAGTCAATGAGATGCATATTTATACTTAGAACCCGCAACAAAGTTATCTTGGACTAGTCCCCAGTATTATTTATTTTGAAATGAATAACATTGTTTATGTAAATCTGTTGTACGACTGACATTGTGACCAAATAATTTTATTATATCCTAGGGGATAAACTTCTTAATATGTATATACACTACCTCCAAACTTCTAAGATGAATATCTGACAGATTACATACATGACATTTTCGGTGCCCAACTTTAACTGGATTGTTAGCAAAGACAAAGTGATTTAGTAATGTGTAGCTTAAATTTATTAATTCTAAATTACTTAATATGATTATATGAGATACATACTCGAAATATTTATAAGTAGAAAATATTAAATCTTATATCGATGTGCTTTACAAATATACTTATTATTAAAATAGGCATGTCTATAATTATAATTTTGTCCGTTTCACTTGTGTAAGTCTATCATCTCTGTTTTTCTCAGTAAGAGTGAGTGAGATGGCAATAAAGTTATACAGGTGTAACAAAGTAGGTAGTTGGCGACTTGCCAAAACAACGAAATAGTGCTATTGATGAATACTATTTTAGACTTGGCTCCTTCTAGTTTTGTCCAAGTTTTCGCTATTCATATGTTATTGAGCCGAAGATCTCAATTTACGGGTTTTAAATACCAACCGTTAAAATCTAATGTCGAATGTTAAAGCATTATTTTTTTTTATAATGTTTTATATAGGTCCAAAATAGGATTTATTCTAGATTGGAATCACCGCAAAACTGCCTAATGTAATGTAAATATAAATGTCTAATATTGTATTTTTTATATCATTTGTATTCCAAAGTTCAAATTATATTATAAAATAAAACTATTTTTTTATTTATATTACTATGTTTAAACATTTTTAGACTTCGTAATATGACAATGTAATCATAGGATTTCACTCAAAAAGTGCAAAAAGATCTTGCTATTTCTATTTCTTCAAAGAGAACGAAAGAGATGAAACCATTAGACGTTTCGACGTTTGGAAATCAACAGACAAGACAACAGAGGTAAGAGTTTAGGTTTTATATTATACTATTTATGGGAATCCAGTTATGAAGAATTGTGCAAATAAAACTACTATGTTGTGAACATGCTTATATATATATTTTTTATATCAAACATACATAAAGAAACGTACAATCTGTTCTGTTGCATTTACTTTATAGGCACAACGTGATACAACAATTATAAAACTCAATGAAATATTGGACGATAAACATAAAAATAATTTTACAATGCTCTTCGCTATCTTTATTTACCTTAAACCAAAGAAAAATGTTCGATATATTGTATTTATAAAAGTTATAAATTTTGATTTTAAAACAGTAAAAGTTTTCGTGTTTAACAATACTACAATAATATCCATACGTAATGACTACCAGTTTTATAAGATAAAATTCTTATAGAACTGCTTATAATATACGATATAAATAAATGTATTTCTCGTACTTACAACTAAAAGAGATTCGCACGAGTTTGTATTAAAATTAACTTGAGTACTTAAAGCCATAAGGCACTTGATTTATAAACTATCGCACTCAGAGTGCACTATTAAGACTTATTTATTATCTTAATAATACACTTATACTAAAGTTATACATAATATGTTTCAATAAAAGAATAGCTGATTAATACGTAATATTAATTCGGTAATTGTGAAATACGTTGCATCTCTTACAAATGATGCTTAAAACAATAGATTTAAAATTGAAATTGTTCGATATTTAGTGGATTTTAAAATGCACTTTATATTTTATAATTATTATATAATTCAAGACTATTATTAAAAAGCCATATACTAGTTTCCTTAAAACTAATGAGCTGTCTAAATAAATAGAAATGCATGCTAAATATTATGTACTATGGTGTTAAAATGAAAGCAAAAATGGACGTTCCACTTGAGTTCACGATTGTATAGTTATTGTCTTGATATGCTGTTAGTTTTGGGCGGCAGTCAACTTACTGTTGTTATTTTTCTGCCGTCCCTTAGCTTTCTATTGCCATAAGACTGCAATTTGGAAGTCTTTTCTGCAATCGCGTAATCCGAGACTACCTAGAGAGGTCTAATTTAGTAGCCCTTAACCCGATTTCCAAGTCATATGTCAAGCTGACGATATAATCGTGTAACCCGTGATCTCAATGCTTCCTATATTTTTCTGCTATAGTTACTTTATAACTTGGCGTAAGTTCTTAGTTGCCATTGTAGTCATCATGACCGGGACTTTGTAATATAAAATGTTAGTTGCCGCCATAGTCGCGCAGCTCTCGGTTGCCGAGGGGCAGCGTGGGGCGGTAGTTGTGTAGCAGTTCCATAGCTTCAACGCCGCATGACGCTTCACCGCATCGTAGCTTTCGCATCAACGCCAACTGAAATTTAAAAAAAAAATAATGGAATGATTTTTAGACTTCATCGCGGAATGGATTGTTGGGTTTGATGTCTTTGATGTGTTATACGCTATGGGGAAACAAAACAACTTTGTTGTATTATACATCATTCGTTTACTAACAAAAAAACTAATCAAGCTACTATATTGAAATATTTGTATGTATGTTTAATTTTATACGAGTGAAGTAAAAATATTTAAGTCTTTGGTAGCATAGACCTTCCAGATAGTGTGTTACTCGGAAACCGGTATTCTAAAGTCAATAAGTACCGATTGCCACGGGAACTAGTTTAGAAACAACCCATCCGATATTAGATTCCTGTTTGCTTAACGTAGATGTTTTCCTTTGCAATATAAAGCGAAAGATTTCTCTAAAGTGTTATAATATCTGCGGTGGGAATATTTATAAACCTGGTTTAATTTCCTGTCGCTAACGACGAGAGAACGTTAAATAAATATTCATATACTAAAGAATATTACGTTTCTTTCTCAAGTAATAAATGTAGTTTAAAAATTGCGTTGATATGTCGGTGTTGCTGCCGCTGCATGGTATTTCTTTCCTTTCTAATTAAAATACTATTTTTGAGTAATTAATCACCTGTTCTCCGGAAACTTGTATGGGGTCTTTGAAGAGTATCCAAGTGACGGACTCTGTGCAGGGCGGCGTGGTGAGCGACCCTGGGTAGGTCCAGTAGGCGGTGCGAGTAGGTAGCAGTTGCGCTGGGTCCAGTGGCTCGGACATTGTCACCTTGTCGCCCTTGTGTTGGATGAATGGCAGCAGCCGTACCACTTTCTCCAGCTCTTCGTGCTTGGAACCAACCTGGAAATACGTAGCAAGTTGTATCAGAATTTTAGAGACTGCATAGTTTAAAAGGCTTAGGATAGATTAACCCCTTCAAGTTGGTATTATTCTATACCATTACCTAGTGCAAGTTCTGGTTAAGTTAAAACACGTGAACGTAAAAATGAACCTTTAAAAAAGTAGGAGTATAGGTCAGGGTGTACCATGTTCCGAATATATTACGTTTTTTTTTTCAATTTTAGTCAAGCGTTGTTCAATATAAAAAAGGATATTGACAGACAGACGAACAACAAAGTGATCCTATAAGGGTTCCGTTTTTTTCCTATGACGTACGGAACCCTTAAAAAAATAGTTAAGTCCTACTCAATGAGTATTTGATACTATGTAAAAAGCTAACACGTCACAACTTGTTTATTTAGTCATGGATAGAATAAAATAATGTCATTATAATGCAAACAAATCATATAAAAGTCTCACGTAGATTTAAACGAGCTTATTATGATGTAAGTACCAATTTAAATATGCAACTTAGTACAAATAAGGCTTGAAAGAATTGAATTATAAGGCTTCTATAATCTGTGCAGAGGTTATATTTATTATTAAACTACTAACTGGTCACCGCAATAACCGGTGTTAGGTTTCTATTGTTTTTGCACATCTTCCCACTGTACTAATTTAACGTCTGATCACATAAAATCTTTCTGTTTTAAATCCTTTAAAATTATAGGTAGCAACCTATTTGTAATATTGAAGTGTAATTTATCACGAGTGTGTTGGAAAGTAAAACGATGCAAACAATAGTACATTTAAAAATTATAAGGAAAAACCAAATGTCAAATAATTTGCGCGAATTTAACCACGTGGAAAGAACAGACTCAATTTTATCTATCGTAGAAACTATTCTCCTTGTTAGCCAGACATGCATTTTTTTTAATTAGAGTAGCTTCGTCTGATCTCACTTTCACCGAGCTATTATTGTTTATTTATCAATGATGCTAAATTTTGTTTTATTTCTAAGAGTATGAACTAAAATTAAATGGAAAACATCATATTCTAAAAGAAAAATAATTATTACGAATGTCATAAGTAGCAAACATGCGTATTAGTACACATATTTAAACTTGATGGATCGTTTATTTAAATAAAATTAACGATGTGCTAATGACTTTACCATCAAATTGATACCATTTGTAAAAAAAAGTTAACATTATATCTTAGGTCTACATAAATCTTGTGCCCAGTATAGAACTGCTTAACACCGAGGACATTAACGCCAAATACAGTTTACATAAAAAGTGAAAGTTTGAGGTTACGGCTATACTCTTTAGTTTTGTTTTTGTCGTTGGCCAGTGTGCGGTTTGTAAAAAACTTTAACAGGTAGATTTCACATGCATACGAGGTTATTCACAAGTGACGGATGCATTTAATCAACAATACGCTCGGAGCGTTGTACTCTATAAATGTCCGATACACGTTGTTTGTTATACGTACAGCTTGAGCGAAAACACAATAAATTCACATGTTTATTTTGACAGTGTGGTTCGCCTAAAATATTTGGACACGCTTGATTAATCATGTTTATAAAGGTTTTTCATCACAAATGTAAAAAAAATATGTTAAAATCTTTTTTTCTTTCTCTCTCATAATGGAACGTAATCATTCAATCCATAGTAAATTTTACAACTGGCCATGACGAAACGGTAGTATGATTTTAAAAAAAGAACAGAATCCTATCAGATCAGTGTACGATCTTCAGATATCAATGGCCAGTTCTATCAAGTACAAATAAATAAATCCTTACCATTAATAAGACTCCTAGTACGGCTAGTCCGTCCGGTTGTCCGGCTGCCTCTGCGAAGCTGTGGTATTTGGAGGTGTTCCAATGCACAAGATGCAGCTCGCCGGAGAAGGCTCGACCGTCCACAGTGTGCTCGGAGCCCTCGCCGTCCGCCGCGCCCCAGTGACAGTGCCACTGCTGCAGCTTGTACACGTCACCACCCAGGGGACCGCCTCTCAACTCTGCAAATGGTAATTGAACATGAAAATATTTTTCCATGAAAAGATTGTAGAAATGTTCAATGTTTTTCAGTCAAATTAAAACATCACAGCGTAGATCATTGATTCCCAACGTGGTCCAGGTGGAACCCCCGGATTCACAGTTTCCATAATAAGCAATATTTTAAAGGGTCTAACAAGAATAAATAGGAAATATCTGATTTAGATAGAGTGTTGAAAACAAAACATTTGTCGCTATCCATTAGAAACACCAGTGTAACACGGGACGATGTAATTTCATAGATTTATGTTGTATTAGTATGTGATACAAGTGCTTCTGTAAATAGATGTATTGCAGTGCTATCTGCACCTTAATGTCAAATGTCGCGAATCGTCAGCGTTACGTATGATCATTATTTACATCTTGAGATAATAAAGACAATCATGGTAAAGTTAACTAAATATAAGTTTTATGATATATTGGCGTAACGTGTTAAAATAAATTAATATCAAACCTTGTATCAATGAAATCATTTCCTATAGTGACGGCGTAATTTTTTTGGAGAACGGCAACATTTTGACGGCTTTATAGTAATTATATTTTTAATAAAGTTAAACTATTTATTGATGACGATGTTATGATGTAGATCGTAAAATAATGAGGCGATAGGTATCACTGTCAACCCAAAATAGATTATACGTCGTGATACATATTTGGTCAAACATGACATGGTTATTCGGCCAGGCCTTCCCAATATGTAATGCAACACAATCCTTTGTTCTACAATCCATCGTCCTACCACAAATCTATGTTAGGAAAGATCGTCATTTAGTGCGGTTTTGAGTCGTTTATATTTTATTTGATACTTTGTTACGCCGGTTTAATAATGTATGACACGTGTTTTTTACAACGATATACGTATAAAAGTTGATCAATGTGGTCATCTCATTGTGGTTACTTATTGTTGGATTACGATTACTTTGTATTTATCTTATTGTCTTTATTCCTTGTACTTAAAGTAGTAAGTAAAGTAACATTTGTAGCTAAGGTTAGTTAGTTTTTACGTAATTATGTGATATTTAGTTTAGTTGTTCGGTATAATTGCGACGTTAAATACATACATCATGTTAAACTATATTTTTGAATTTCGCGGTTACGCCTACGAGGGTTAGTGTAGGTAAGCCGACTTATTTTTAATTCCCCTCGCACATGTAGGGTAGTTGAAAATTCCTCGCCGCCACGGTTTGCGGGAGTTTGTGCGAGGAAGGCAGTGAGTCGGTACAGTTGAGAGTCGGAGTCGACGGAACTTTGACGGAAAGTAGGGGTCACACATCGGACCTGTCGGTTTCTTAAAAGGTTGTTTAAGTTTACGGTTTTTCGTTCGGTTCGACGACGACGCGTCTATAGCACGATCACAGGATGCGGTATATCGGGACATCAGGCGGGGCGGCATTGTTAGCTCCTAAAGTCTATTTGTGACTTATTTGGCTAGTCTGACACCGAAAGAATAACCAGGCGGTCAACGAGGCGTCGAGTTGGTAAGTGCCAGTTTATTTATAATATTTACAATATTACGGCATCCCCTGCACCACGTAATCCGTATTTGTATTATTACCTAGATGTCTAGATATACCATACTACTCATGAAACGGCCTATATTTCACATGGCGGGGAAACATCGGCGGTTGAATGGGAAATTGCTTGTTTGTGTGACGGCGGTCGGCGTACGGCGGACGGGTACGGTCGGCATGCATTCGCTTCGCTGCGGAAACTTCACGTCTCCCCTTCCTCGCGATAAATTAATAGCGCGGTTAGCTTCATATCATGCAAATAAGTGATTTTATATTCTAATAATTCATTCATTCATCATTTTATAATCATAACTAATAAGTTATGATTAATATTTTAGCTAGTTAATTGTGAGTCATAAATTAAACAAAATTATGATAAAATTCCCGGTATAAAACTGTTATTATTCAAACAATACCTTACTCATTAAATTAGGCCGGAGGATATTTTTATCAATTCAAAATAATCTTGTTAATGAAATGACAATTGTTAGTCGTAGGTGCGTACTTGGTAATTATCCGCGTGAATGAAACCGTTGTTTCATGAACGTCGAGTGATCCTGACAGTGCTATAACTGGGACAGCAACGGTACATAAGAGTTATGTTGGCCGCGGAAACCGCACGAAAGGATAATGTTTATACCGTAAGATCGTCGAGAACTATCTATATCACCTTCTAGATTTATATAGACATAATATGTACTAGTATTTAGTTTAATTGAAGAGAGAAGTACTTGAAAAAGGGTACCGCAATATTTTCTATCGATTTATGTATACCTTTTGAAGATTCAGACAGTGCTTAGCTTATGCATGGCTAATGCAACATGCGTATGTTAGCCGTGTATAAAAATAACACGGATTAGCTTTCGCCTGCGATTCTGTCCGTGTGCAAATTTCAGTGAGATATATGCAGCCGTTTTGGAGATACCTTCTAACAAACATCCATCCATCCATCTAAACGTTCGCATTTATAATATTAGTAAGATTACTAATTAATGGGATTGAAGCTTACCTGAATCATATCCGTTCTCGTCAACTCGCCAGCAGTAGCCAGGGTTGACTACAGAGCGCGTGTGGTTGACAGAGTACCGCCATAGGAGTGGCGGCGCGCTGCCCCCTGAGCTGGCCAGCGACGTGTCTATGTCCACGGGACTTTGCCTCGCCCCCCGCGCCTCAGGGAACTTCTCTATCCATGTCGCGGGACCTGCAAATATATCGTTAAATGACATTGATGACCCTAGTTACTTTGCTTGCTTAACCACACCAGTAATCCATTGGGTCATAAAATATGTTTTGTTGTAAAAAGATAAGTATCGCTCTACCTTTTACATACATAAATATAATCCAGTGCTTACGGTGTAATAAAACAGTCATGTTATTTAAATATTTTGATAAATATTGAACTGGAATTTCTTGTGTGTTTCTAATTTCTATAAATTTAATTTCAATTTCAAGTAACTGATGCAGCAGGATTTGAATTAAACTTGCGTAGTAGTATATTTTTAGCTTGAATGTATTATGTAGGTTTTTAGATCAAACCAATTTCGTTATAGGAACTAGATATTACGTATACTCGTTTAATTGTTATTGAGCAAAAAAGCTAAATCGTGTTTCGCACACATTAAAAGTAGTAACGATATCGAAATATCGACATACTGAGAGTGGTCTCAATCTTTTATGACTGTAAGCCAATGTTAGTGCTTTTCAACAGATTTATTGTGGGTTTCTGAGATCAAAATCTCTATATAAAGTCATCGTCGTCCCTGGCAATATCTTGGACAAAACAGATATAAAGACATAAATTAAACAAGCATTTGGATCCCAAAAACTACGGTTAGTATTTTAAATGATTAATGTACGTCAAACGGTTGTTATGCTATAAAAAAACGGTTTTATTTTTTATTTTTTTTGGCGAAGTATCAATACAATAATAAACTTATTAAAGGATCATTCTACAAATGTTGTTTCCTGCGCCAGCGCCGGTCTGTAGTTCGCAACATTTTAATGGTGTTGAAAATATTACAATATTATTTCTAGTAAGTCTTGAAACTAAAGTCGTGTTCATATAAACTAAAATAACACCTTACAAAAAAAAATCTGGTTGTTTTTTTTCATAAGTTAACATACCTAAGTAATCTTGACAGTTTAAATTACAACAGGAAAAGTGATGTGGCGAGATTATAAAAGCGTGTTCGTAGACAAACATTGTTTTTTGCAAATATTAGGTTTATTTAGTCGCGTCATGAGTGAGGGAGTGAGGGCTGACAGGTTGTTTAGGCCTCGCAGCCCCGTTATCTTATCTGTTGAGGGCGGAACGCTTAATAAAAACGTTTTTATGATGACGCATGTCTTTTCTTGTGAAATATTTGACTAACTTTGATTGTTGGCACAACTTGTACACGTTTACGCGAACATCTAATAAAAAACGACACGATATTGAGCGATAAAAAATTAATTCATTTTTAATTCAGGTTATAAACGTCACGTCATTCGAAGTTTTATTTTTTTTTGGCTATTTGTTATAAATCTTATATTTTTTTAGCAATTATACAATATGCGTACAAATAATAAACATGTTATTTAATTAAAATATTAAAATATATGTTTTTTATTTTTTTATTTATTGAATACTTTTGTCGCGACTAGTGTCATTTTCATAAAGCCTTGTTGTGTATACTTTAAGTTTTTTTTATCCCTGTCGGAATAAATGGACACCAGAATTTTATCATCTATTTTTAAATTTCACAAGAATCGTGTTAAAAGTTATCTGTTGGGTTATTAATTAGTCGAAGTTTTTGATAACAAACTTGCATCTAAGTAGATGTCTTACTTTTTCAACTTCACAGACTACGATTATCATAGCAATGATAAAGAAGTTCTTTGTCATGTTTTCTCTTCCTGAATTTTAATATAAAGTGAATAGTTTCCATTTAAAAATAATTAAATCTATACTAATATTATAAAGCGGAAGAGTTTGTTTGTTTAAACGCGCTAGTCTCAGGAACTACTGGTCCGATTTTAAAAATTCTTTTTTTGTTGAATAGAGCAAGGCTTTAGGCTACATAACATTACGCTGCGACAAATGGTTTTTTTTTAATTCCACGCGGACGGAGTCACGGGCGACAGTTAGTGTGGTATATAAGAGACATGAATGCTAATAAGTTGCACGCGTCAGTTACCGCATTTCTTGTACGAGTGCGTCTCAATCTTTGGGCGACATTGCATTACCCAGGTCCAGGGTCACCCGGCCTTGTCACAAAGAATACTTGCGATTAGCTACAACCGGAAAGGTCATCTCACGAATATATTTTTTACACTTAATCAATTATAAAAAATTACTTTGTTAAAAAACGTATAAGAATTTTGTAACTCCACGTAAATTAATGTTTTGATGACTGTTAGTTTATAACCTCAAAAAAAGTATAATGTTCGGATACATCGTAATTACACTATGGGTTTCCACAATCAAAAGACTTGTACGAAAACATATATAAAACCGGAATGTTTTCATCGTGTATTTCAATAGCGAAATTCATGGTTTTTTTCCAATTTTTAAATTGTTGTTTCTTTTCTATCTAAATAAACTGGTGCCTGAGGTATGGAACGGAAATGTAATAAAATTGAACAATAACACATTTAAGTGTACCAAGTTCCCACAGTGACAGGCGCGTGTTATTTCTTCGCGCCATTGTTCTTTTGTTTTGATTAGTTACGATCATCTTCCAGGTGCATCTCTTTACGTTAGATTGTAGAATACGCTTACGCCTATCATCCAATTGAATGTGGTGGTCGACATATAACAACTCTTATGTCTGGTTTACATACCAGTACAGTAAGATTGTAGGACACTAAACAGTGAGCCTAAACAGTCCATGTCAGGCCAGCGCTACTGTCCTACTGTACTGGCATAATGTAAACCTATCATAAATCTCTGGTACAATATTTACTCTGTTTACCATTAGTATTGCCTAAATAAAATAAAAGTCACAGCATTATCGGCAGAAATAAAATAATAGCGTGTAGCCGACTTTCATTACATTTTTCAAGGGTACAAAAATCACATTATTATTTGCAAGTGTTGGAAACTTACACCTTAGAATTTTCCATTGATTTTATCTATAAATCATCCGGCATTACGTATAAATACCCGTCTTAAAAGTGATGACGCAATGATCACATATCAATTGACAGCGACGACGGTTCGTCTATCAAAATAAATAAGTCATCTCCTCAATTGCACGCGCCACGGGAATCGGAAGTTCCCCTCACAATATTATACAATAAAAATAATATTGATATTGGATCGAGTAATCTATGACTCGTAATATTTGTAATAGTATGTATATTTATAGTTGCATTTTATAGGTTAATTTAGACAATTGATGATTGCTGGGCTGATACAGACGTCATTTTATAATGCTGATACTGAATTTATTGTTGCTACGATTTGCATCCAGGATTCAATATCAATGAATTTGAATTTTGGATCGAAGCCTATCATTTGTTCTAATAATTAAATACAAAAATGTCTCTACATGCGTCATTATTTACAGAAAAAGTTGCAGGGTTTTGTAGATCTGATTACTATTAATTTAATAATACAGATGCATGTTTGTGCGTTCTTATGTTTTTCAAATGTCTGCTTATACACATATGTTTTATATTCTAAGCCTGGAACATTCCCGACGCGTATAACGAGTTTAGTGGTAACTCTAGCCGTAGTAATAGAACGTAGGGAAACGGGCTGTTGCCGATACAATGGATGCATTGAATTCAATTGACAGCCGACATGCTTTCAATACGGCAGGCGGCGGCGGTACGGTGCAGTGCAACTGCAAGTTTCTGGCAAAAGTAAACAAACCAGTCGTTTTGTTTGTTATGTTTGAGATGTTGCAATTGATTACATAGTACGACAATGATGTAGTAATTAGTACACATCAATATTAAAATGACTATTGTTTAAATCTGTTTAGTTTAACAAGATCTAGACAAACAATGTGCATTAAAGAAATTGTTTTGAATATTTATATACTTACAAAATAGTGTCATCTAATAATCAAACCAATTATATTTTGAATGCAAGGAAAGAAAATACAAAGATGATTCATAAAATTTCTTCTCGTCCGAAAAATTTAAACAGACTTTCAAGCTTTTATTGCAGATGTGTATGACCTAAATCCAGCAGACATTGACAGGCCACAATTTCCTTGGCATATCAAAAGTAAGAGCTACCTTATTAGGCATGGTACATTGTCTCTGTACTTGACATTAACAATACAGTCTTGTTTATTGTTTCATAATAACCGCACATATTCAGTCAACCACTATATTAATCTGACAGGATAATTATTACATACAAATTGAATAGGCAAATCTTAGTTATTGCTAAAATAAACTTTATAACGCGCAAGCGATCGTTAAACGACAATTAATTTCAAAGAATTAATAATGATAGCAAATGACTTCTATGAAATGAACATTATTTTTTATGCCAGTAATGAATTTTATTTTTAGTTTTAGTTATTATTCATATAAAAAGCATATTGCGGTTAGGAAAATATCCACTTATTTAATGGATTATTGTAACCTACTAGGTGTAGCCGGTGACTCCGTCCGTCAGGATTAAAAAATAAATAGTAGCCTATTACCAGACCTAATAAATATGCATATAATTACATAAAAATCGGTCAAGCCATTTCACAGGAGTATGGTTACTAACATTGTGACACGAGAATTATATATAAGATGTTAGCCAAGTTCTCCATTGTTTTTGTTACTGATTCTTCAATTTAATGAATAAACATCCAGGACAGTTAAAAGGTCTATTATTTGCGGACAATGACCTATCGGGACGCTGCGCTTTTATCGTGCAAGTCTATTTTTAACTAATATTGTGTTGTGAAAACATAAATAATATATAATGGACAGTTTTATAGCAATTGAACGGGAACTGTAAAGATAACAAAGATCATTAATAAATGAAGAATTACTAATTGGTGTCATTATAATCTTTTATTGTTAATATATTTGCTTGACCAGACAAAACAAATATAAATTATTTGTATAATTGACAGATAAATAAATATTATATTTTCGTAATGATAATATTTATCATAAAATATTTACCCGGAAGGGATGTGACTTTTAGTTCGAAATAGGGCTTTGTTTACCAACATAGTATGGATTTAATATACTATTAATAGT